AAGCAAGTCCTACAAATTTGTTTTTTTTTTTTTCCAAAACTTTTTTCGGTCATCTGGGCCCTCTGTATTTACATATGTAAATTTTAGATTCAACTTGTCAATTTCTGCAATAACAACAAAAAGAAAATCCAAAAACAAGCAAACAAAAAACTTGTTTTTAATCATAACAGGGTGTTGGATTTTGTCAAATACTCTTTCTCCATGCATTGAAACAACCATGTGGTTTTATCCTTTATCCTATTAACATGGTATATTACATTAATTGTTATCTTTTGTATTTTAATATAAATTATAATGTCTATATATCAGTTTGGGAAAAAAATGGCTATCTTAATAATATCAAGTCTTCCAATCCACGAACATGGTATGTCACTTTATTAGATCTTCTATTTCTCTAATGATTTTTTTTTAGTTTCGAATGTATAAATCTTCCACGTATTTTGATAATTTTATTTCCTAAATATATTCTTTTTTGATGCTATTATAAATAAAATTTTTTCTTAATTTTATTTTCAGAGTATTCTTTACTAATACATAGAAATACAGTTGATTTTTTTGGGACATTTATCTTGTAACATGACGTCTTGATGAACTTATGAATTAATTCTAGTAGCTTTTGGGTGAATTCCCTAGAGTTTTTAAATATAGAATCATATCATTTGCAAATAAAGACAGTTTTATTTGTTCCATTCTGCAGACATTTATTTATTTATACCTGATAATACTGGCTAGAACCTCAAATACAATGTTGAATAGAAGTGGTGAGAGTGCCTTACTTTGTTTCTGATCTTAAGGGTAAGTCATCTAGTTTTTCTAAACTGGGTATCGTGTTTACTGTAGGCTTTTCATAGATGTCTTTCCTCAAATTGAGAATGTTTTCTTCTATTCCTGGTTTGTTCAGTTTTTAATCATAAAAGGGTGTTGGATTTTGTCAAATACTCTTTCTCCATGCATTGAAACAACCATGTGGTTTTATCCTTTATCCTATTAACATGGTATATTACATTAATTGTTATCTTTTGTTCTATAAATATGAGTTTTAAACCAGTGTTGCATTCCTGGGACAAATCCAACTTGGCCGTTGAGTATAATCCTTTTTATATGTTACTGGATTTATTTGCTTTATTTTCTTATGGATTTTGCATCTACATTCATGGAGAATATAGGTCTGTGGTGTCCTTTTCTTGTGATATATTTGTCTGGTTTGGTGTTGGGTTGGTGCTTTATCTTCCCTTTTCTTTATCAATGATCTTTCCAGTAATTTCCCCTATGGCTTCTCTTTTCAGTTCTCCAGCCAGAAATCTGGGATTACTAATATATACCCAGCTCAGTTGTTTCTATTTATTGTGTTTGCATCTGGAGCCAGAGAGTGGAGAGTGAAAGCGGGGGGAGGGTGGGGGAGAGAGAGAGAGAGAGAGAACAATGGGATTGCACTCCACCTTCTCAAAATCACCATGCTGCTAATCAGACAGGAAGATTATCCTCCTTCAGAGTTTTGGACTCACAGCATTGCTGCACTGCCACACGATTGCTTGGGGACTGAGGTGTGAGAATGGAGAATAAAAAGAGAGGACAGTTTTTGTATTCGTTCTGAGTGTTAGGATTTCCTTTTCCCATTTATTAATCTAGAACTCTAGGATTCTCCTAGTGCTCTCTGTGTCTGGACTCTTGTACCTACTTCTGGCTTTTAAACCAAGCCAGGAGACACTAGAGGGAATAAATGGTATATCTACCACAAGCTTTTTGGTACTTTGAATTCTTGTCTTATTTCCCAACCTTTTTACCACTACATGTTTGCTTTTCAGAATTCTTAAATAGATTTTACTTAGAGCTCAAGCTCTTTCTCTGCTATTTCATTTTTCTAGTAATTCATTTTAAATATATTTACAAGAACATTTGTCCTCGAATTGACTGGGAATTAAAAATGATGACTATTTTGGATGATGGAATGAAGGCTATGGGGGATTTTGGAGAGATGAATAGGGATTGGATATTTCTATTAATGGTCAGTCATCAAGCATAAAAAAATGAAACTTGAGAGATGGACTTTACAAGTCAAAATGATACTACTGGTTTCTGCATGTAGTAGACATAGCCTACTTAACTCCATTAAGTAGGAGTTAATCGACATTAACTCCAACTTTGATTAATGTAGTGCCATTTGTAAATAACAAAGCAATTTTTTCCTTCTTTTTCTGAAATTTCCTGGGGGTGACATTTTTCCAGAAAGGTTATAACTGAGCTGGTCTTTGAAGAAATTATCTGTAACAGGAAAAGAATCTTGTTCATTGTTAAAGATCCCTTTTCTCTGTATTCTTCAAATTGGATACATTCTACTGTTTTGTCTTAGAGTACGCTGTCTCTTTTCTCTGTTGTATCAATTCTGTCATTTCTACTACTGAGTCCTTCCAGATATTGTATATTTTACTTCTAAAATTTGCATATTTATTTAATAGTTCCTATTTCTCTGCTGAAACAAAAAACTACCTTGCCATTTGTTTCAAGAGTATTTACCCTTTACCTCATAGACTATGGTTATAATTGCTAGTTTAAGGTCTTTATGTGACCATTCCAATATCCAGTCTTCTCAATTTGGGAAGCTATTGATTGCCTTTTACCTTGAGAATTGGTCGTATTTGCTTGCTTTTTTTGTCTGTTTCATTTTTAATTATATAATGGACATTTTGAATATTATGTTTTAACATTCTGGATCCTGTTGAAATTCTCTGAAGGAGATTTAATTTTTTTTTTTCTATCAGATTTGGTTAGGTTTAGACTGCAAGCTCTGCCTTACCATCCATGGGCAGTGGTTTCCATGTCAGTTCAGTTTTAGAAGGCTGTGCTACTCACAGTTTAAGTCTATGTGCATTGTTCAAGGTTTGTACTGGTAATCTGGGACTTGGACAATGGTTTACATTGTAGTTCAGTTCTCAAAGCCTTTGCTGTGCTGCTTTGAATGTTTTCTGTACATATGTATCTTAGGAGTAGTCCAGGACTTTGATTCATTCATATAGAAAATAAAGGCATTCTCTGCTCCCTCTCTTTCCTCTGTGAGATTTCCAGGTTAATTATTAATTTTTATTATAGTACATGTTTCATGTATTTCTCTATTTTTTGATTTATTATATTTAAATTTTTTATTTCACTGTATGAAAAAAATGATAATTTTACTCTCATCTCTCCCCTCTTTTTCTCCTGCTCCTAATATTGGATATTTACATTATCTTTTATTCTATTGACTGCATTTGTAACATTTTATTTAATATACATAAGCCTCTACTTCTTGATCTGTCAAGATGCGTAACTTCTTCAATTCCTAAGTTCATATAGTGGTAATAGCTATGGTTTTTCTTTCCCCTTTCATTCCAATATTCCAAGAGCTACACTTAAACCTTTGTGTTGTCAATGTTGTACTCTTACCAAAGGTTCATAGTACATGTTTAAATTTTTTCATTTAAAAGAACACAAAAAAGTATTTGTATTATTCTGATTGGATAAATATTGTTAAATACTGGGACAAGTCACAGTTCAGGACTTCCTTAAGGCCCTATGTGATATGCTGGCCAACTGAAGAATATTAATAGCATCAAGCAAAAGGATTTCTTTACCTTTTCTTCCTCAGTATTTAAAATTATGTTACTTGTTTGAATAATTACTTTTGCATATTATTTATATGCATTTGTGTACATATGTATGCATATATTTCTAAGATTTCTAAGTCCTCTTTTATCCTGGGAGACTTCCTGCTGTCTATGACCTATGCAGACATGTTATTCTTACGGGAAAAGTACATTTTCAAGTAACTTCCTAAGGTAGGATGAATGGGAAGGGAAAGTTTCAAATACTTAGGGATATGACCAGAAATATCTGTTTTTCCATTTGATTGATAGTTTGCCTGGGTTTAGAATTCTAGATTGAAAGTTATTTTCTCTCAGAACTTGGAAAGCTCTGCCCCACTGACTTCTAGCATTCACTGTTGCATCAACCAAAAGATATAAGGAATGAAGATAATTCATTTATTAGCCAATCTCAGCTCATGGACTTCTTTCCTCTTTGTGAGACAGTGATCACAAAGGTTTTCCTTTGTCCTGAAGAGGTGGGCTGGGATATTGGATTTCTGTAAACCACTATGTTTCAGTGCCTCTGTCTGTCTCTCTCTCTCTCTCTCTCTCAAAGTTGCTAGTGGACTTTCCTGTTGAAGAGCCCCTTTACTTCTCACTATTCTAGGAGGTCAGCAGTGCTGGTCATGGTGCTGGTGTACTCTTTGCTCTCCAGCTTTGAGACTGTCAAAGAATTCTAGTTGTATATATATATTTTTTCTTTATTTCCCTTTTTTTAAATTACTCATTCAGTTCTCCTTGTACCTTGAACTAAAGTATAAAAATTGTGGAGGGCAGGAATTGCCCTTGCCAAAATAGTAATGTTTAATTAACATAAGGTAGAAAGTGCTCTAAAGTATGTATATAGTACAGGGATATTCTATAGTTCTTCTATAATGTGTTTCTCAGTAGAAAATTTCAGGTATATTAATCTGCTTTCACATTGCTATAAAGAACTACCTGAGACTGGGTAATTTATGAAGAAAAGAGGTTTAATTGACTCACAGTTCACAGGCTGTACAAGAGGCATAACTGGGGAAGCCCCAGGAAACTTATATTCATGGAACTTCTTGAATTCCATTCAAAGGGGAAGCAAGCGCATCTTCACACGGCCAGAATGAGAGAGTGAAAGGGGAGGTGCCACACACTTTCAAAGAACCAGATCTTTTGGGAACTTTATCAAGAGAACAGCACTAGGAGAATGATACTAAACCACCCCCATGATCCAACCACCTCTCACCAGGCCGCATCTCCAACATTGGAACTTACAAGTCAGCATGAGATTTGGGTGGGCACACAGAGCACAGAGCCAAATCATATCACTAGGCTACCCAGTGTTTATCATTTACACTATCTGCATTCACTTTTTCTCATCAATTATTACTGTTTTGTCTTTTTCAGCAACAGAAATTGCAAGGAAATCCAACAAAGAAAACCAAATCAAAAAGGCCAGATCCCCTCAAAGGACAGAAGGTTATTGCAAGATGTGATGAAAATGGCTTTTATTTTCCAGGTAGTTTTAAAATTTATTTTGTGAGACTTTTGTTAAATAATTTGATATTGGGGACAAGAAGTTTCAACCTGTGCTTTTGCTAGCACACTGACATGTCATGAGCTTGCCTGAGCTATTCCACTTTCCACAGAGAAAAGAAGTGGAATATCTCAGACCAGCTCATAAAGTGAGCATATTTCGGGCAAAAAAATGGTATCCAGAAAAATGCATTTATTTTAATATCTCATTTTTTAGTAAGCAAATTTTTGTTGCCCATCTTCTGCATTGCATGTATGTAATATTTTGAAAGTATTGGTCTAATGCTATGAGCAAGCAGATGAACATTCATGCTTTATGGAGGTTACATCTTAAAGGAGACAGACAAGCAATGAAATAAACAGGTAAAATATGCAGTATGTCAGATATAGTGTTGTCGAGAAAGATCAAGCCACAAATGGGGTTGAGAATGTCAGGGTGAGGGTTGTGATTCTATATTTGGTGGTTAATGAAGAGCTCCTGGGGAAGGTGACATATGAATAAGGACTTAAAGGAGGTGGGGCAAGCCATGAGATTATCTGGGAAAGAGAGTTCCAACAGAGACAGCAGTGGTGCCCAGGCCTCAGACTGGAGTGCACATGCCCAGGGTCGCTGGGCCTCAGAGGTTTGCCCCAGACTCCCTGGGGGATGTGATTCCTGAAGGAATCAGTCAGATGCAGTTCAGCAGCGGGTGGAGGCATGGAGGGAGTTTCATGAATGGTGATAATATGTGTGAAGACTTAGCAATGAAGAAAAGTGGCTATGTCTGGAGAAATAAAATTGATTCTGGCTGGAGCTTAGAATGAGAAGGAAGGGTGGAAATAATAAAGCTCTTCAGGGAGGTAAGCATGGGGCCATGCATAAAGGGTCGTGTTTAGGATTTGCGCTTTACGCTGAGGGCGAGAGCCACATTTAAAGCAGTGAGAAACACAGTCACATTTGAAGTTTTAAAAAGCTCTCTCCTGCTGCTATGTGAACAGTGGATAACATAGGGTTAGGGTGTCTCTCTGGTCCCTGGCTCAGGGTGGTAGATAGATAGTGGTACCTACGGGAGATGGTGGTGTGGACGGAAAGACAATGAGATGTGTCTGGGACAGGATGAATTGTAGGTGCCTATGAGATGCCCAGCTGAAGATGTCAGAGAAGCAGTTGGAGAGGTGGGTCTAGAGTCTGGAAATGGAGATTTGGGAGACATAACAACAAAGGTCATCATCAAAAGTATGGGAAATGTCTGTAGGGAAAAGGGAACTGAAAGAAAACCTTGAGGAAGCTCTGTTAGGCAAAAGATTACATTGCAGGCCAGGCGTAGTGGCTCACACCTGAATCCCAGTACTTTGGGAGACCAAGGCTGGCAGGTCACTTGAGGTCAGGAGTTCAAGACCACCCTGGCCAACATGGTGAAACCTTGTCTCTACTAAAAAAAAAAAAAAAATTAGCCAGGCATGATGGCATGCACCTGTGGTCCCAGCTATTCAGGAGACTGAGCCAGGAGAGTCACTTGAACCTGGGAGGCAGAGGCTGCAGTGAGCTGAAACTGTGCCACTATACACCAGCCTGGGTGACAAAGTGAGACTCTTTCTAAAAAAAAAAAAATGATTACATTGCAGATACATAGCTGACCTTTCTATCTATAGGCATAATCTATCTATCAACAGTTAAAAGAATAATTATTATTTAAATTTAGATGAATAATCTTTTAGGTAGGAAAAAATACTTCAGCACGATTTTTGGTTTCTAGCAGGCACATATGTACAACTGACAAGGAGGACAAGTTATTTGAAATGTTATAAATGTGCTTGAGAGTTGCCAGGACGAGAGTAAATATGGATCCCAGCACTTGGAATGAGCATGTAGGCTAAGGCATGACACCCTTCTTTACAAGAAGGACTGAAAATCTTTCATTTCTCTGGGGCACAGGTTTTCTAAGTGGTGATTGTAGGAGGCCACCCCTGCTTGTGAAATTTTGATTTTCTGAATTTAAGCCTTGGAGAGGGTTTTCTTGCTAAACTGGCAGTCGAATGATAATGCTAAGGGGGCCTAGGCACAATGGCTCATGCCGTAATCCCAGCACTTTGGGAGGCTGAGACGGGCAGATCACCTGAGGCGAAGAGTTCAAGACCAGCCTGACCAACATGGTGAAATCCCATCTCTACTAAAAATGCAAAATTAGCCAGGCGTGGTGGTGTGTGCCTGTAATCCCAGCTACTCGGGAGGCTGAGCCAGGAATATTGCTTGAACCCAGGAAGCAGAGGTCACAGTGAGCTGAGATCACGCCACTGCACTCCAGCCTTGGTGACAGAGTGAGACTCCATCTCCAAAAAAGAAAAAAAGAAAAGAAAATGAGAAAAGGGACTGGATTCTAAGTGGTTATGTTAGGGCTTGGGGTCAGTTTGCTGGCCAGGGCCCCAGAGAAATGTAGAATGGCTTGAACTTCTACCCAGCACCATCCTTGTGTGATGAGAAAATTCTAAAGACCTACTGGGGGAGTAGAGGAGACAGGGCTAATTCCATGGCTACGTGCAATGCCTGAGGCCACAATGGAAATTTTTTTTCACCTGCAGTTAGAAGCAGAAAGCACATACTGTACTCCCAATAGCCACATGGGATCTGACCAAGTGGAGATTTTTAATTTGCAGTGTAATTAAACTACAATAAGTCACCTTGAAGGAATATTTGAATTTGGGCATGTAATTGGTAATTTTGATTAGTGTCAAAGTAGTAAACTTTGACTCAGCCAAATTAAGTGACAGTGCATGGGTTATCTCCATGAGCTTAGTTTTGGGCCCTTTCCCCCTAGTCACCTGATCTTTCCTTAATTGGGAATAACGTTACTTTTATAGGTTTTTTTTTTTAATTAAAAATTCAAACATACAGAAAAGTCACAAGAATAATACAGTGAACCCCTGTATACTCTTTACCCAGATTTGCCAATTTTTAACATTTTGTCACATTCTATCACATATTTTATTTTATTCTCTCTCTCTGTCTCCCTCTGTGTGTGTGTGTGTGTGTGTGTGTGTGTCTCTCTCTCTCTCACACACACACACACACACACACACACCCCTTATGTTTTCTGAACTCTTAGAAATTAGGTAACATTTATCATTATTTTATCCCTTAACACATCAGTGTGTATTAAGAGTAAAAATAATCTCTCAACATAACCACAATAAAGTTAGAAAATTCAAAAACTGTAACACTGTTATAGTACTTTTATTTAACATATATATAATGGCCTTTGTCACATTTTATTTTCTCCAGTACAGGTCTCAGCCCAGTACAGGTCTCACTTGCCCTCACTGGTAATGTTAATTTAGATCACCTGTTCACTGTGAGTCACTCTTTTCCCTCACACACACACACACACACAAAAATAGAATTTTGCAGAACACAAGGCATGATGTTATTGGTGAGTCCTTTTCTGATAACTGTTGTTCAAAACCTCCTAAACATTTTTAATGAAAAACAGCTCACTTTAAAATGAGCCTCAGCAGAAGGCAGGATTGGAGTCACTGGATTGGGGTGTCCACTGCATGAGGCCAGGTCCATGCAGCTGAGCTGGCTGGGCTGGGATTGTGGCGGGGATTTCCCTGTGGCCGTCGCTACTCCAGGGGTCAGTGTGCGTTATCCGGTTGAGGAAATGATGTGTTGTACAGAGTGATAGCCTGGCTCATCTGGATGCTGAAAGCCAAGGAGGAAGACACATTTTCAACCCTTATTTTAAACCATTATATGTGGAAATTGGGTCATCCTTCCTGTTGTTTGGTGAGAAGCAGCGTTTTACTTCAGGAAACCCACAGTGATTTCTGCACTACGCCATAAGAACAAGTTATAATGAAGAAAAATGGGAACAACATGGAACGCTTTCTCAGGTGTAATGAGTTTGGGCCAGAAAATCCTACGTTTTCATTTATTTGAATTCTGCCTCTTGCCTCTATTGGCCACACAGCTACAGCCACTTTGTTTCTCTGCACCTCAGTGTCCCCATCTTCTCCAACAGGATTTAAAACAAACCTTTCATAAGCTTGCTGTGTAGATTACATGTGATGATGTACAACCCTTCGTTAATTCCACAGAAAGAGGTTTTCTGCATCCCATATGAGAGCTCCTCTTAGGAGATAGGGATAAACACCTTGCCTCCTCTCCTGGAAAGGAGGGAGCTGTTTTCTGTTTCATGGCAGCTTAGAACATTTCACAGCAAGTCAAAGCAGCAAAAGGCAACACAGCGCATAGAAAGGAAACCTCCAAGACTGGAGGAAGAAGCGAACATGAGGACCATGAAGGATGACACTGTGGAGGAGTGGGCAGCTGGAGGGATGCTCTAGCTGGAGCAAAGTGAAAGCCTTTCTGAAGAGGTGGAATTTCAGCTGGACTTGGTATATCGAAAGGTTCTTAGCGCCAAAGATTTAAAAAAATAAAATCCAGTCGCCAGCCTGAGAAAACCTGTTTGGAACAAAAGGTTCAGAACTATGTATGCATCTTTCACCAAACAGACTTACGTCCACTGTTTACTCAGATTGTGACACCAATTCTCTGACCCTGAGCACCCACAGTATTTCTGCTGAGGGCCTCCATAGGAGTGCAGGCCCTTTCCCCAGTTGAGTACAGGACAGCCTCTGACTGAGACAGGGAGCTGACTAGTTCCCAGGGAGGCACTGGGCGTACCAGCCTCCACCCAAAGGAAGAGGGGAGGCAGTGGAGGCTCTGGGCCCACCAGCCTCCACCCAGAGAAAGAGGGAGGCAGTGGAGGCTCTGGGCCCACCAGCCTCCACCCAGAGAAAGAGGGAGGCAGTGGAGGCTCTGGGCCCACCAGCCTCCACCCAGAGAAAGAGGGAGGCAGTGGAGGTTTGCCGACTTGGCCACCCTCCAGAGCTCAGGTCTTCCAACAGGTTCCAGAGATTTTAGAACTGGGAGATGTGACCTCACCTCTCCCAGCTGAGAACAGAGAAATTACAGGGTAAGGGAAGCCAAAAATTGGAGCTGATCTTGAATCAGGACACAAGAAATGGTAGCAATTCCTTAATGAGGTGGAGGAGCAGGTACAGAAGCTTAGCAGTGGTGGGACAGGCCAGTTCTGGGCCCTCCAGCCCCGCAGAGTACGGCCGCATTGGGGCCCATGAGGCCAAGTTGAAGACAGACAGTGAGAAACTGTGCTTATATCTGTAGATGAACAAAGACCCACATCTACAAAGAAGGAAACTGAATTGAAGGAACCAAAAGAAAGTCATCATAACATTCCAAAAAGTTTAGGTCCAAAGAAGAAAGTCAGTGGTAAATGGTTTAGGCTTTGTCAGCTATGCAGTCTCTGTTGCAACTTCTCAATTTAGGCAAACAACCGAAAAACTGCAGAGCAGGATTGATACTGGATACTGCTAAGTCCCAGAGGCTAAGAATTTGGAGAGAGTCACATGGGCCAATGTGGCTGTGGTGGTAGCCCAGACCCTTCCCTGGGGCCGTGGGAGGGACATGGGGCACACAGTGCGTGGCTCTTGTTTCCAGAATAGAAATAATTTCTAAAGGGTGGTATTCACTTTTCTGATTAAAAGGGTAAAGTCAGTTTATGATAGAAAATGTGTGAATAATGTGTAAATATTTCAAAACCCAAATTAAACATTTTAGTCCAATATGAAAACATCCAATGGTAAGCTGGCTTATGTGTGTATATTTAAAAAAAAAAAATTTATTCCTTTGGCCATTTAAAACAAGACACATGAATCAAGATGAAAATCAGCAGCTGTCTCTTTGCCCCACGAGAGGACTTGGGGCTTTGCTTAGCGGGCACATGAGCCGGGACCGGGGAGCCGCTGCAGCACGTGCTGTGGACCCCAGCAGGACACACATGCACACTTCCGTCTCCGTGAAGATCTGTGAGCAGCTGATACTGCCAGGGAGGTGGCCAATGTCATCATCTCCCTCTTCATGTCTAGAATCCCTTTTTAATAGGAAGATAAATTTTAAGTCATATAAATGATTAAAAATGTGCATTTTAACACAGGTATTTTCTTTTCCTATGGTGATAATTTATTCTACTAATTATATTAATTAAAATGTATAACAAAATTATATATTAAATAATATGTGTGTGTTTATACTAGACTGATGCAAAAGTCATTGTGGTTTTGGTCACTTTTTTAATGACAAAAACCGCAATTACTTTTACATCGACCTTTGGTATCTATCATGCACTCCTTTAGTATAACTAAAAAAAGAAACTTCTTCCTTCTTTTCTTTTTTCTTTCTTTTTCTTTTTTGAGATAGAGTTTTGCTCTTGTCGCCCAGGCTGGAGTGCAATGGCGCAATCTCAGCTCACTGCAACCTCCACCTCCCACGTTCAAGCGGTTCTCCTGCCTCAGCCTACCAAGTAGCTGGGATTACAGGAGCCCACCATGCCCAGCTGATTTTTGTATTTTTAGTAGAGACAGGTTTTCACTATGCTGGCCAGGCTAGTCTCGAACTCCTGGCCTCAGGTGGTCCACCTGCCTCGGCCTCTCAAAGTGCTGGGATGATAGGTATGAGCCACTGTGCCCAGCCTTACCTCTTTTTGCTTTGTTCCTTTTCAGCTGTACATGTTGGGGAAGCTGAGTATGTTCAGTCTAGTCAGATGAAAAGCGATTTGGATGGGAGTTATATTTTCCTTTTTACTTTCACAATCTAATTAACAGCATGCATTTTTTATCTTTAAGTATTATGGAAGAAAGTAGAGGTAAAGTAAATGAACAAATCAGGTGGTAGGTGGTGTTCAGGAGGAGGATCTTTCTTTCCAGGACCCATGTTCCCGTCAGGACGGAGACTGATAGTGTCGGATGAGCAGGTTTCATGCACTCTCTCTGGTTCTCATCTCAGCAGGTGCCCAGACCAGGCATTGTGTGCGTCACCACTTTGAGCTGTTCAACCCAGTAGGCATCCTATGGTACTGAACATTATCTGCTGGAGAAATCAAAGGGGCACACTGATTTAAACAGGCAACATGTGCACAAGCCTAAGGAAAGCGATGCTATTTGTCTTTATAGTGTATGTTTTCTTTGATTCCTTCTAGGGGTTGTGAAAAAGTGTGTGAGCCCCACCCAAGCACTGGTGGGCTTCAGGTACGGAGACACCAAGGTTGTGTCCACCTCCTTCATCATGCCTGTGGGGGGCGCCATGCCCTGCCCGCTGCTCCAGGTACCCATTCCCTGATGTGTTCTGGGGCATTTTTTACCATCCACAGAGTTTTGGATAACAGAGGATGCCAAGACCGCTGTTTGGCCCTTTGCTAAACCTATGTGGGCTCCTGCAGGGAGGGGTGTTTGGGCAGGAAGAACGGTGGGCCCTGTTCTGGGACCTGTTGCCTTGCAATTTCTTTGCTCCTGACCCTGACCTGCTGACTCCCTGTCATGTAGCTGAGGGTTGCACAGGTTTGCCCACATTGTACCTTGAGGTCCTTGTCCCTTTGTAAGACAATAGATGGTTGGGGGAAAACCATTGCTGTAGCTGCCAGTACTGTTGACACTTTTAACTGCAAAAGATTCTATTCTATTCCATAATATTATATTATAATATATCATAGCAAGGGCAGAGGTCACACTTTCCTTGGCACTGTGGTCAGCTGACGTCAGACGGTGACACCGTAATGCACAGCTACCCCAAATGTGCATTCCACACGTGGTACTAGAAGAAAGGCCATGAGTGTGAGTTGTTCAGGTCCTTGGTGTTTGGAACAAAGAATTGAACAACATGCACAAATAGAGTAACAAAGGAATGGAACACAGGAACAAAGCATGGAAAGCAGGGATTTATTAAAGTGAGAAAGCACTCCACACAATGGGAATGGGCCCGAGAGGGTGGCCGAGGGGCGCTGTTATAAAGATTTCTGGGTTTTAAGTACTCCTGAGGTTCTTATGGACTACCCCTTATCTGGATGAAGGATTTGGTTTGTGGCTAATTAAAGGCTGAGGTGAATTGCCGCCCGTGGCCAATCCAAGGCACACTCCCTTTCCCTCTGAGCCAGGGTGGAAGGGCAGGGTTGCAGGGAGAGTGGCCTTTGATCCTTTGCTACTGGCTGTGGGCGATGGGGTTTTTCCTTTTGGTTTATCTTTAGAAGTTTGTGGTGATTGGCCTTAGGTTCTCTGCCCCCAGACCCAGATATTTTCCCTTTGATTTAACTTTAGGAAATTATCATGAATTGGCCCCAGATTCCCTGCCCCTAGTTGTTAGTACTTTCCCTTAATTCAGCTTTAGAAAGTCAGCATGAATTGACCTTAAGTTTCCTGATGCCATACCCTGTTCTGCTGCCTCAGATGAGCCAGACTAATGTGTTCTCATCTGCTCACAAATGCATCAAAAGCTGTGCCATGTCTGTTTCATTCTGTTGCCGCTATCCTAATTCCAGCTGCAAGGCCCCGGAGTAGAGGGCAGTCCTTGCAGAGCACCCCACTGCTGTGTTTCGCCCAATGTTAGCCCAGTGAAGAAGCGCTGGAGGAAGAATTGGAGTATTCATCCCCGGGCCTCTGTTTCTGCTTCCTAGTCAGAGCCCTGGCCCACAACAGTGCTCTTGTGCCCTGACGACGCACAAGGGCCCACAGCCTCTGCGTGTCTCTCCACAGCATACTCTTTCTGCTGCAAGTTCTCTGTTTGCGACTTTTGGAGCGACATTAAACAGATCTCTCCCTTCCTACATCTTGGTGACAGCCCTTCTGGCAGATGAGGACACTGTTTATCTTTGCATGACAAACACCCCAGGTTCCTTCAACTACTCTCTTTGGGGTGTGGTTTCCAGAACCCTCCCCATCTTGCCGGCTGTTCCGTGGGCCCTAGTCGGTTGTTGAAGTCCTACTAAAATGTGGCTTTCCATTGTTGTTGTTTCAGTTCCCAAATGTTGTGAACTGATCACAACATTTCAGACGTGGCCCAATGTTGGAATTCTTTCTTAACTGAGAAAAAAAATAAGTATTTGAATTTTATCCTCAGTAATTGCCAATTGCCTTGGAGTGTTTTAAAATGAGCTTATATTAACATTGTCTATACAATCCATAAGCAAAACATTTCCTATATGTTCTCCTCTGCAGGTTGGAGATTATGTGTTTGCCAAAATCATGATACCCAAAGGATTTGACTTCTACGTTCCTGCCATTGTCATAGCACTTCCCAATAAGCATGTGGATGCAGAAAAATTCTACACGGTTTTGAAGTGTAACAACCGGAGAGTAAGTAGATTCTCATTTAGAAAAGGACTTTCTCCTCGGCAGTGCCAAGCCATTTCCTGGCACTTCCAGGCGTCTTGATGAATGGTTTCCCCGGCTGCATCTGCCACCCTATTCTCTATTCCCTGTGTTTTGGCATCTGCCCACTGTGCCACACACCCTGCCTTCACTGAGGCGACCCTGGCCTCTCATGCCTTCTGTGTGGTCCTTTGGCTCTCATTGCTGAACCGTGCTTTGCATTTGATGGAGGGGCAGACTCATTCTAGGGTCTTGTAGCACCACTCTCTCTCAATTTCTGCCCTCCTCAACCTCCTCATCCTCCTGCTTAGACTGCCCCTTCCTTGTGCTCTTCTGCTGACCCTGCAGACTTCGGCACCTTCTGGGTCCCTCCCAGTGCTGTCCTCATCTGCCTCCTCCCTGTATCTTTCGAAGTCAGCTTCCATCTCTGGACGTCTCCTCTGTGCCAGAAGTGCCAGCCGTGCACTCCTGCCTTGAGCTCCAACCCTGCGCTTCTAGCTGGGTCCACCTGGAATGCTTCCTCAGGGTGAGCATGGGCATCTCAGACTCCGCAAGCCAATGCACCCCCTTTCCCCAAGCACCTTCTTCTCTTCTGTGTCCCCTGTATTGGGGTGCCACTACCTGGTTCCCCATCTCCTACTTACTTAGAAACCACCTCCAGAGTTGGTAGAAGTTGGGAGACATAAGGGCGGACAGGGACAAAATGGAGTCGAGTGGAAAGAACACAGGCTTTCCAATCAAAAGACCTGTGTTAGGGTTATTTGAACATTCACTCTGCTCTTTATTGGTTGTCTGACCTGAGCAGGTTGCTTTATCCCCTGAGACTCCATTTGATCACATATAAAATGAATATTTTACATATCTATATTTGTCTATGTATACCCTACAGGGTGAGTGTGAGGCTTGAAGAAAAGACACATAAGAGATCTGTGTCTGACAGGCAGGTATTGGGTGACGGAGTGCTGAAGTGGCTGCAGAGGTTAGTGCATCACTCAGCTCCCTTCCGTCTGCACTCCCCAGGGCCAGTGAGTGGGATGACTGCGACGACTGTATCATCTCTAGATTGATTTGCTCCTTGCACAGATGTTTGTTAAGGGTCTATATAGTCTATTGGATCATTTGACTTTTTTATTGACTGGGGAGGTCTTCTGTGTCTTCTGGGTAGTAATTCTTGGTAATATATGCACCCAGTATTTTTCCCCGTCTGTTACTTGTCTTTTAACTTTGGAATCTTTGTTGACAGAGAAGTGTTAAATTTTAATATGGTCAAATTTATCCCTTTTCTAATTTATGAACTGCCTTTTCTATATTTGTTTAAGAAATCCTTCCTTAATTATGTATTTCTCTATGTAATTTCTCTAAAAGTTTTAGAAGAATTCTTTATCAGTTTACAAAACTGATGATGATGTTTGCCTGATTGACGTCCCCCGCCTCCTCCCAACCCGCACACATGCTTGGGGAGAATCCCCAAGTCACCCTTAGGGAGAATCCCCCAGGACCCCAGTGTGGCCCCAGCCTGCTCCATGAGCTTGACCTCCAGCCAGGTGGAAGGCTCACTGCTTCCTGAATGCAGTGGGCTTTTCCGAGCCCTAGGCTTTTGCCTCTTCCTGGACTGCCCTTCCCATCTCCTTTCCCCTAAACTGCTGTCACCGTAAAGACTCCACCTGATCGTGACTTCCTGCAGGGCCATTGGATTCCTCCTGTCCACTACACTGCCCTTGCCAAACTGGCTTCGTCACCAACCTCTCAACCCTTAAAGGCAGTGACCACGTCTATTCACCTTTGTCCCTCCCAGCACAGCCCCTGATGAAGAGAAGGGTCCCACAATTTTTTTTTTTAATTACTTGAATGAATGACATTCCCAATAGAAAATGAAATTGTCTTGATGGAAGACTTAATATGCCTGGAAAACAGACCAACAGGTGAACTTGATTGGTGAGCAAAAAGCCAGATAACAGTGGCTAACTTTCTTAGGTCCTTACTATGTGCCATGCATTCCAATCTAAATGCTTTACACAGAGTGGACACTTGGATCCTCAGAACACCATTAGGTAGAGACTGTTATTATCTTGATTTCCAGAAAAGGAATTGAAGCAAGCGGTTAAAGCACACACCTGGTGTGCAGAGCAGGCGTTTGGATGCAGACAATCTGGCTCCATGGCCTGCCCTCTAAACTACCATGCCCAGCTGCCTAGAATACAGAATAAAAATATCCAGGGCATCCTTGACCATGGGATCAGGTAGTTACATCAGGGAGAGGGACATGGGAAATGAATTTTAGGGTTAAGGGCAAAGGAGAAAGCCCATCAGAGCCAGCAGCCACAAGAGCACTGTATCCAACCCAACAGAACAAGCAGAAAAGGAGGTGTCCTCTCATCAACCCAGAAGAAAAACCCTTGGAGAAAATGGAGTTTCCTGAAGCTGTCTGGATAGCAGTAGAGAAGCAGTCTGGAAGGGCAGAGCATGGAGAAGCCTTTCTCTTCCTGACATCTGGCACCACTCTGGGGATAGCCACTGTGAAAGGGAGGGAGGGATGTTTTAAGAGATGTCCCCAGGTATGCCCCAGGGTGCGGGGAGAGATAAGGCAGTTGGCCCAGGATCCCTAAGGGGAAGCCACAGAGCCCAGGAAAAGACCTTGGAATTTACCTACAGATCGTGGGGGACGTGGGGCCCTGGAGACTACAGGGGCATGGCCGGGGGAAGGATACTGGAGATAGCTCTGATAGGAACTTGGGGGGACCCAAAGAGGCTGAAGGTGGGGCATTCAGCAAAAGTGGTGGCCAAAGGCTGAAATAAGAAAGGAAGGTGGTTATATGAAGCGCTCTCTCTCTCCTCTCTCTCTCTCTCTCTCTCTCTCTCTGTGTGTGTGTGTGTGTGTGTGTGTGTGTGTGTATGTTTCTTCTGTGGGTGCACTTGAAAATTGATCCAGAATATGGGGAAATGACAGAGAGGACTCAATGATGACTTATTCAGCAAATAATTATCAAGTGAGGTTCTGAATTTAAACTGCTCTTTTAAATGTCACCCTGAATAGGATAATGACTAGAAGCTATTATAATGGGTTGAGCTAGAATAAAATCATATCTGAATTGTGGACATTTCTGATTTAAGTTGAGTGAATTCTGTTGGTATTATTACAGGAATTTTGCCCTCGGAGTGCACTTATTAAGATCAGCCAAAACAAGTATGCACTCTCCTGCTCTCATATAAAGTCACCCCCAATTCCTGAGGATCCAAAAGTGTAAGTGTACTCAATTTTTATCTCTTGAATATTAATTTATATCCTTGCACCTTTAATCTGTCTTTGAGATGAGATCTATGACCTCTTAATACTAGGGAAGAAAAGCAGAGATGGAGAATGTCCTACTTAAAATGTAGCTCTGTAATATTATCCCTTCAACATCACACCTTTCACCTGCTATTTATTCATCTGGTTCTAATCTCAAATTCAACATTTTTGACCCTTCAGAAAAGTATTCATGAATATCTGATGAATATGAAGGAATTGTTCCCCTTTCATCTGTAAAGATTCAAGGACTTCTAACTAAATTGCATTTGGGTCCAATCACCTACCTACCTCTCCTTTTGCTGGGAGGTGGGAGTGAGGGGCTGGCCCTGCTTGCCCATAGCCAGGTGAGCATATAGGTGGGCGGTGGCTTCCCAAGGCAGCAGTGGGGTGAACACATTTTCATCTGAGGCAGTAGGATTGCCAAGAGCTGTAAAAGTGGACTAAAGGCAGGGCAGAAGGAAAGGGGGAGGCCTGCAGGACAAACAAAAACCCAAGTCCATGGGTCCAATAAGGGGCATCAAAATTGGGGTCATGGAGCCATGACCTTGGAGTCAAGGGCATACAAAAAGAGGTGAAGGTGGATGTTGAGCACGTGTTGGGGAAAAGGACCCAGGAAACATCTTCCAGTTTCTCTTAGAGTCTGCAGGCTGTCTTTGAGTGCTAACCTTCATTCTTCCCAATGGCCTTACCTTCTGCTTCATCACAGAATCATTGGACAGCCTCTCCCTCCACTTCTGATCTCCCAGCTCTGGGCTTAAGGAAGTCTCTGCCTTTGCCCTGTTGTCAAAAAATCAGTGTCCTTCTTTTCACCCCAGGCCAGTCTGTCCACTGGGCTCCAGAGGCCCATCTTCCACTGCCTCAAGTCCTGGATTCATCAGTGATCCCTGGATTCTTCTTACCTCCTTCCTTAGCTCCTCTTCACTGAGTCCTTCACCTCAGCAAGTACACAGGTTTGCCTCCTGTTCACACACATGCAGCACCCACCAACATACACACTCCTAAATAAATCCCACTCCCTCGGTTCTGCAGTGTGACCCAGCATGCTCCCTGTCCTTCACTGCTAGGCTCCACACACCACTGGAGAGACTCTCCTGCCTCCTGTTCACTTCTGAGCCTTGGGTATCAGTGTCTACCCTCATCCCTCCAAGAAACTCCTTCCACAGAGGCCATAGGAGACCTCTTACCGGGCTGCACTGGTGAGCTCCACGCTCACTGACTGAGCCTGCTCCTGCAGTCACCTTGGACACCACCAGCCATGCCCTTCTGCCCTAACCCCTCCTCTTAGGCTTGTTGCGGCTCCACGTCTCTGGGTTTTCTCCCTGCCTGACTTCACAGCCACCCACTGCCTCCATGACTCCCTTCACACTAAGTGTAGTGGGAAGTGAGAGATTTGGAGAGACCGATGGGGTTGCAGGAGGATTTTGTTTAACATGATTACAGGCTTAGTGGAATGGCTTTTTAATTTTAAGCAAAGGACAAAGAAAATGGGGTGCCTTTTATGTACCTAGGTGGTGCAGGATGACGAAGCAGGAAGCGGGTTTACAGAAGCCAGAACAAAGAGCAATTAATTAACTTGTAACATGTTTTGTGATGTACTTTACATTTGGAAAGTAACATGGTGAGAGACACATTTTGCAGTTTTTGTTCTGTGACCCTGCGGCTGGTTAGAAAGAGAAACAAGACTTTTTAGATGCCTGGGAACTTTGCTAAGAATGTGGGGAGGATAGATCAGGTTCAGTGGTTTGCAGGAAGGCAGTTATTCTGCCTAAAACAGAGCTGGGAGGTATCATATTAAACAGTACACAACACAGCAAAATTTATTATATAGCAACTACACATTATACGGTTTTGTTTTACTATTATTGCTATTATTTAATTTCTTTCTTCATAAGGACCTCACGTCTCCTCCAACACAGGCTGCTCTCCTGCGCTTGTGCGTCACAGTCACAGAATCCAAGCGTGGGCCCTGAGATGGATTTTTTGAAAGCCCCCTATCCTCAGCTAGTTGCAAGGTGCAGCCATGTTGGGTAACTATAGGGGAAGCACATTTATACCAAAATTGAATTTATCTCCCAGCCCTGCTGTCATTAGTTTTGTGGTTGCTCATCGACCTGGAGCTCTTCTGCAAGATGATGGTGGTGTGAAGATGGGGATGGTCATTGTCTGGCAGGCATTTGGCACATTGTGGGAATAGCATTATATCCAGCCGCTCACTGGATATTTCTACCTGAGTGTGTAGAATCTCAAAAACTTAGCACATCTAAAACCGAAATAGCAGTTCCCCACAAACCTGCTCCCATCTCAGCCTTCTCCATTTCCGTTTGCCCTTTCACCCACAAGTTACGGCCCCGTACAGCCAGAAATCTGGTGGTCATCTTTGGCGGCTGCTTGTGCTTCACCTACCACGCCCCTTAGTCTCCAAGTTACAGTGATCCTAACCAGCCAGGAGCTCTCATGTCCTCCAGCCTCCTCCTGCCACAGTCCCAGTCACTCATCAGAAGGCTCAGCAGAATCAACTCCCTCACATGCAAATCTCCCTTTGCCTCTTCCCCACTTAAAAATCCTTCAGAGCCCCGTCCCCATGACCCCTTCTTCCCAGCTCAGCCTCTTGCTGGTCTGGCTCAGGCCTGACTACCTTGCCTCATTTGTCCCTAGCCACCCCCAGCCAACCCGCCAGTGCCTTCTACATACTGACCACTCTAAGCGATGTGTAGGTTTTGCCCACACCATGCTTTCTCAGGTCTCTGTGCCTCCACCAGATTAAGTATTCTCTCTGGAAATCTATTTCTTGCCCTTGGCCACCTGGAGAACTCCAAGACTCAGCTCAAACATCAGCACCACCATGCGATGTCCCAGCACCCCAGGCCACTCCCCCCACCCACCACGATGTAGTGAGGTGGTCCCACCGCAACCTGTAGAGGTTTCCGTTAAAGAAAATTTCCTTTGCATTGGACTCTGTAGGCACAAGTCCTTGAAGGTAGGGGACAGGTTCTATCTGCCTCTGAATCCCAGTTTCCAGGGTCCAGCTCACAGAATGCCCCCAATGACTATTTGAAGAACAAATTAGTGTACAAACACATGCTAGCAGATGCCCAGTGACGCTCCTCTAGGGGTGTGCAGCTCTACAGAGAACTTTTCCTTAGCTATGGTTACCAAAAACATATGCTACAATTTTTCATTCTTTGTCTAGATGGGCATGATACTTCATTTAAAATAGCAGCACATTTTCTGTTAATCTCAAACTTCTACTCTGACAGTGTTCTTTGCAGGTCTAGCTTCCGGTTCCTATGATATCCAAATTACAGCTCCTTATAAAGGAATCTGAGCAGATGTATCTAGCTATTGCCCATTTTACCAAACTCAACGTTATCATTATTTTAGAATGAAAATGCAGTTCTTTGTATGTTGAGAAAAGCCTTTGTTTTCCATCTTCCCCAGGCTTTATTTAAAGCTCTGCACTGTGAATTATCTGCTCTCTCTTCTGGGCTTCACACAGTGAAGTGTTCATTGACTCCCTCATCCCACATTGTAATTTCCACTCTTTTTTGTTCTGGCTGCCTCTATGGGAGCAAGAGACTGAGTTTAGTTCTCTTAAGCAGAGGTCACATTCAACCCGGTAAGTTCAGAGCTTAACCTGTCTCTGTTTCTATGAACAGGACTAGGAGAACCGAGTACAAAAACGAAGGTGTACCTCTGACTTTGTAACAATGCTGGGATTTTCTTCTGGTAGATCCTTTCCTCAGGAGTTCTTTCTCACTTATTTTACAAATATGTTCCTTAGGGAGCGTTCATGCCGCTATTCCAAATGAGGCCATCTAAAGAAACTCCTGATGCTTCCTTCACAGGCTATTAAAGGCATGTACTGTAGGTTACATCTCCAATAGAACATTATTTGACAAAATTTAACTTTCAAATATGGAATTTACTATAACTATCTGCTTGCAGGGTAAGACAAGGGATACCTGGGCCCAGACAAGCCTCCATCTTCCCCTGCTCCTCCTTTCCTTCTTTCTGGGGGCCTTTCCTGCAGGTCGCTCTTCTGGGTTCTAAGTGAGGATGGGGCACAGTGAAAGGCAAGAAGAAAGGCATTTGGAGGCTGAAGAGCTCAAAGCTGATTGAACATGGCAAAAGCTGATGCACATTTTCATTTTCAACTTAAAATTTGACACCTAAATCATTCTTAAATACTTTTATTTAAACAAGGTTGTCTTATAAAATATGTTATCAATATTGCTAAATTCCAAATGACTCATTCTTTAAGGAGGGTATGTCGGTATTGCCATATTTGCAGTGTAAAACCTGTGATGTGGGTGCAGATTTTCTCTCTCCTTTGCAGCATGATGAGGCCATTCTCTGACACAGCTGAGAGGCATGTCTTCCAAGACTATGTCCGATGGAGGGAAATGACTGCTCTTCCTTTCCCTTAAGGAGCATGCCTGAGCTTTCTGCTACAATCCAAGACATCAGAGATGTCTTTTCTGAGGGAAAATGGTCCTTATCCTGTCTATAACTTCCTCTATTTAGAGAATACTTGTGTAGTTTCTCCCATATGGTAAAAGAAGCAGGCAGAACAGGGGCTTTTCCTCCATGTGGCATCCTCTCTCCTTGCCAAGCCAGGGGACTCACAGAACAAGTCCTTCCCTGGCTGCCTTCCCGGCATCTTTTTCCTGTCAGAGGACTGTAGCCTCTGGAAGGGCAGGGGGAGGCACCTGGTGGTCTCAGACCCACGTGGGTCTGAGCTCCAGCTGTTGGTGTTCTTCATTGGAGAGAGATGCCTCTAGCAGGAGTTATTCAACCACCCACAGACTGCGGTCTCAGGCCACCTGAACTGAACACACACACCTGGTGCCACTCCCCTAACTAGCTAGAAATCTCTCCTGAATGAGCTGGAATCCTTCCTCCCCTCACCCTTAACAGAGCATGACCTGGGCAAATTACCTTCAAGAGTCTTCCTTAAGAAGACTCTTGGCCTGGCGTGGCAGCTCATGCCTGTAACCCCAGCATTTTGGGAAGCCAAGATGGGCAGATCATTTGAGGTCAGGAGTTTGAGACCAACGTGGCCAACATGGTGAAACCCTGCCTCTACTAAAAATGCAAAAATTAGCTGGCTGTGATGGCATGTGCCTGTAATCCCAGCTACCCAGGAAGCTGAGGCAGGAAAATCACTTGAACCTGGGAGGTGGAGCATGCAGTGAGCCAAGATTGCACCACTGCACTCCAGCCTGGGTGACAGAGCGAGACTCTATCTCAAAAAGAAAAAGCCTCTTTAGAGGGTGTATAATTTATTTTTTAAAAATTAATAATAGCATTCCAAATATGGTATCAGGAAAGCAAAATAGGGCTCACCATTTCCTCTGTGCTCCAGAGGAACTATGAGTTATCTGAAGGAAGCTGCTGGGTTCTGGGGCCCTGGAGGCGAGGCATGTTCTTCTCTTGCTGTTTGAGGGTCATGGTGTGGTTTCAGGAGGAGAGACCCTCCCAGGGCCAGGTGGGGTTTGTCTAGATCTCTGGTCAACTCCTTTTCCCCCAATTCCTGTTACACAAAATATTAGCCTCTCATTATCTCTCTTTTGAGCAGTTTAGTAACTTTCCATGAAGGCACTGGATTTAGGAGTATGTCCCAGTGGAAATGATCATGTCTGCAGTGTTTAATACTCCTCCCTCGACCCTGTATAGTGTTATGGACTCATATTGTCTTCTGACATCAGGGAAATTAAGTCATTGATTGAAACTTCAAGATTCAGCACTGCCTCTAACATGACATTAGATGAATCACTCCCCTTAATCTTGCCTGGTCACTCCTGACAGTTTTCTCCTAAGTGGGATCTGTGCATTTGAAATCATTAAGCCTCTGATGTCATTAGCTCCCTTCGTCCCCTCTGGTCAGATTAGGAGCCCATTTCTTATGCTGGAACAAAGCCCTGAAAAAATTGCAGTTCAGCAACAAACCCTGTCTGTGAGTGTCCTGTGTAATTCAGGACACATGCCATTGCCTACATTGGAAGCATGTAGTGGTGCTCTACGACTTGGGACAAGGGGACACAAGGAGTCACAGATTTGCCGGCCCTGAGGGCCAGCAGTAGCAATTCAGATAGCAACAGCCTTTGCTTCTCAATCTCTTTATTCTCCTCCCCTTCAGTTGTTGAAACTCTAAGGCCTCCCGGTTTTTACCAAACATCTGCTGGGCACCTACTCTATGGGTCCTCTTGTTCTTTATGTTCTAAGACAGACTTGCTGAGAGAGACACTTAGGGAAAAATACAAACGAGACCTCAGGGATCCAGCCGGATTACTGACAAGCTGGCAATGCTTTATCCAGTGAAGGTGGGGGTTCTGACCCCAGGAGGGCATGGAGTGGGCACTCAGCACTTTCTTCCCAGAAGTGGAACTAGCACAGCACCTGGCTGCCCTGCTCTGAACACACACACATATTTATCATAGGTTGATCATGTTATTCAACCAGATCTGTAGCCTCACATAATTAATAGAGCACCTAATTGAACTCTGTTTGGGCATGAGATTGGGCAAAAGAAAGCCATTCAGTGGGTCTTTTCCAGGAGTGCTGGTGGAGAACCCCCCCTGGCTGGAGGTTAGGACCCTGGTGGCCCTCCCTCTTCCACTGATGAGCTTGGGTCAGATAGGAGAGGGAGGTGCATGGTCACAGGGGTGGGGTAGAGGCCTTCACATCAGATTCACACCTACCCTTCCTCCTGCTCTCACCTCTCCCATAAGGAGACATTTCCTTGTGAAAGATCTTGAACTTGGCTGACCTCAGCCATCCTGGAGCATGAAATACAGAAGCCAAGCAGTATCTGCTTGCTTCAAGTAAAGACTTTTCCTTATCAAAACTCCTACCTGCTTTTTGTACTAATCATGATGACTTGTACTGCTTTATTCTTATGCCAAAAGTAATGCATAGTTAATATAATTTCTAAATTAAAAACAAGTGGAAATAATACAAAAACCACCCATAGTCCCACTTTTTGAAAGTAATCACCAGTTTTACCTTGGTATAGATCCTTCTACAGTGTCTTCCCCACTGTGGTGATCCTTATTTCACCATAAGCTTATATCAGCTTATATCAAAAAGCTGTATTTTTTTTTCTCCTTATAGTGTATGACAATTGCAGCTTTTTTTAATGTCAAGAAAGTGACAGCTCTACTGGAATTCATTTTCCAGGTGTGATTGTGAATAGTTTAATGCAAGGGTTCCAGTCATCCTTATGGATTCACAATTTTCATAACAAAAATGAAGATATAATATGCATTATGTTGTGTAATGTTTTTTCCACTTATATTTTTTCCAAATAACTTGTCATTTGCACCTTTCCATGACAGTGTCACCTCTTGTTTCATTATTGCCTCACTAGACTTCCATTATTCAGGTGGTCCATGAGTTGAGTGACCAGTCCCCTAGGTGAGGGCTGTCCACATGCTGCTCCTGGGTCTCTCTTCTTCTTCCTCTTCCCAGAGTCCTCCAGGCAGGTGGGTAGGTGTCTCCTCTGCCTTGTTCTTTCTGTGCCTTTAGTGCCTGAAAATCTGCTTCTCACACCCCCTTCTTGTCACTCCTTCTTCTGAGAGATTATAGCTTAGGGACTGGACTGCAATCGTGTATCCTAATTCACGGCAAATAGAGAAAAACCATGGAAAGGAACCAGAATATGTCAACTTACTCTGCTCTGGAGGAAGGTAGCAATTTGAGGGATAGTCGAGGGTAACATGATGTGAGACTTCACAGAACAGGGATGGTAAATACAATGTTGAGGCATGATTCCTAGAAGTCTCTCAGAACCTGCTATCATAGAACCTATACATCTACATAAGCACTGGCCTCAGATTTAAAGATAATTTTTGTCTGTGGCCTCCCAGAAAAGCTTTTCCAGTGTCACTGCTATCTCCCAGGCCAATTTTTTTAATGTCTTTTGGGAATTGTCTCCTGAGTCTTTGAGCCAGTCTTTGACAATTATCGTGTATAGTGAATCTTGATTCTTTCACAAAGGATTTGAATGATGGCATTTTCTATTTAGAAATAACAAAAACTCTATTTCCATTTGATTGCACTTTTTTCCCTGACACTTTTGAGAAGAATCTGAAGCAGTCATAGTCAGAAATTCTGTGGAGTAAAAACAAAACAAAAAATTATTCAGAGTGAAGGCAGGGTGATCAAGACAGGCGATACTGATTATGGGAACAAAATAAGGTTTAACACTGGGCAGCAGATGTCCTTAAATTACCCTGAAGGCCCTGATAAAGGTGAACTCCCAACATGGTGGCATGGTTGGGATGAGGTCTTGGTGTTCCCAAGATGCATTCTTTGAAGGACAGCACTTTTGAGTAAATAAGCTTTGTCAGCGCATTTTCTAAATAGTAATCTAGCTCTGTGACTTCATAGTTATGCCTAAGTTCAATGTCATTGCAGATCATACCATTTTGAACATTTGGGAAACTGTTTCTGATAGCACTCATTAGAGAAACTCAGGGTGTGAAAGAATATTTCTGATGTACAAGCTCCAGTTCAGGGATGAGCTGGGCTGTGATGGGGCTAAACTCATCTCCCTGGGGCAGACACAGGTCTATGCTGAGGTGTTTCCAGGGGCTTCTGGGCTGGGAGTTGTTCCTTCACTGGCTTGGTCAGGACGGTTTGCATATTCAAGTTCTCCCTGCCTTGGGAGGCTCCCAGATACCAAAGGCTTGTGGAAATGAACTGAGTGGAACTAAGCCCAGCCTAAAGCACTGGACGCACAGTGCTCCAGAGACTCCTTTCCATGGGAAGAGGGACATGGGTAAGGGGCTGAGAAGCAGACGTAGAGATGGGTTGAACATCTCTGTAGACTCCGCAGCCATCAAGACAGGGTAACCCTGATCTCTCTCTGTCTCTAGAGAGGATATGGAGATGAGGAGCTCTGCTTTCCTCCACTGGCCACTGACGGAAGCAGATATGCAGGATTCCAGAGAGCCAAGACAAGAGAAGCCCAGAAGGAAAAAGAGGCCCGCCAAGCAGCCACCTCTCCAGCAGGTGGCACCCTCGGACTCGGGCCGCTCCTCCCACAGCACCAGGTCCCGTGGGGCCTGCCCTGGGGCACACCCCAAGCCCAAGGTTTGGTTGGGGGTGGGGGACACAACATCACTTATCTTGGAAACACCCTGAAATCCCTTTCAAGAATAGTACACCTGACATCATCCTCCAGATTCTGGGCCTCTTTATGTTCCAGTGCATCAAAGACCCTAACATCCTTAAGTAATGCTGACCTTCGCTTCCCTAGATGCCCCACCTCCACTTCCCCTTGGCCGGGTATCTAGGACTCACAAGCCACGCCATTATTGCCACGCCTCCACCTCCAGCAGCCCTGCCCTGTACTCTCAAAGCCATCCACAGCAGCAAAGGACCGACCTGAAGGCTGTCTGGTGACAGCTATGTTAAAGAGACCAGCGTCCTCCCAGGCTGCCCAGACCTCAACGTCGACACTGGAACTGGCCCCTCTACTGAGGTAATGCCACCCTCTGTGCCACCCCTGCCTGCCCTGTCTGTAGCAAAGACTCCTGTCGCCTTCATCCCCACTGCCTCTCTTACCCGCTTGACAACATTGGTTCTGGCTTTTTTGACTGTTCTTTATCCTGTTTTTCCCCTGTACTCACAAAATTGTATTCCATCTTCTGGTAGACGCCCCACCCCCAGATGTTTTAACCTGAAAGATGATTGTCACAGGACTTTCAAATTGTTTAGAAGTCAGCATAAGTCAGGATCCAAGCCTGTAATCTTGTTTTAAATTAATTATCACATCTAAATTAGAGATTTCATCACCCAGTGTTCAGACTGAAATTCAGACCTGGTAGTGTGTCTGAGGTCTGCAAGACTGAACGTTCTCTACTTTTGTTTTCTGACATTTTCATTGAGCTTTTCCTAATTCTTTTTGTCTGTAGTCTGTTGCAGGTATCTCTAATTGAGCACAAAACCAGAATAAAAACTCTTAAATTGGAAACATTTCAAAACCACCGGATTGTTGGATTGTTTATTTGTTACCATTTTTCTCCAAACACATTTTAGCAATGACATATGAAAGTATTCAGTTGTGTTTACTAACTTTAAAATTGAAATCATACCACCAAATTTCCTTTTTCTAGTCAGTAAGATCCCTAAGGCTAGATGAAAATAGAGTACAGATCATCCTTAGGAAAAATATTGGATGCTTTTTCCAAATAGAACAGATAGAGCAGAGTTCTGATACTCTAAAAATTTACAATCTAGTTAAAAGTGGTGTTCACATTCCTGAAAGCTAGGGGTACCAGGGTTATGGTGAAGAAATTAAAGGAGTAATCCATTTCTAAAATTGTAGAAAAAATAAGGGATATTTGCTCAGCATCACACCAAAAACAATAATGCAGTGAGGAAGGAATGGAAGAGTGAGGGAATTGTTTGAAACAAGGCAAGGAACAGTGCTTGTGGGAGGTAGCGTGCCTCCCGGAACTCAGATGTTCCCACCCAGCAGAAAGGCTCTGCAGCAGTCTCTGCTAATGAGAGCTGTGTCCTGGAAGGAAGGAAGGGTGTAACGGTCTGAAGGAAGTGGGTGTCTTGTCTGGAGAACTAGCGGAGCATTTTAGAAACCACTCAGTCATAGGCGTTGGTTCATTTATTCATGCATGCGAGCCTGTGTGTGTTCATTCAGTTATTCAACAAGCAATTGCGTGCTGACAGCCTACCAGGCTCCAGAGAGATGCCGGCAGACACTTGGAAGGTGGTTATCTTCCCTCTGGACCCATCTCACTCTCTTCATCTCCATTTTCTTATTGGAACAATCACTGGTGTCTAGCGGTAGGGTATGAGCAGAGACAAATAACTGCAGGGCAAATGTGTACAACACTAGTTGCATTGGTGTTACATTACAATGCATGAGGCCATCACATGGTATATTCAATGATAGTGCCTACTTCAGTGTGATAAGGGAAGTTGCAGTTACAGCAGTGAACTTCCACCTCCAACCAATACAGAATGGCAGCAACTAGATTTACACTCCCACCAAAGCAACTAACACACCTGATAAAATGTATGTAACGACACTTTCCAGAACTTTGGCCACCAGGTGATAAGGGCAGTGATCTCTGAGAGACAAATGTGATGAGCCGTATGCATGTCCCAGTCACTTCCTGATGACGTTTCCAGGCTGCAGCATAGGGAGGGGGAACCCAGACAGCCCAACAGCCTCTGTGAGTTGAACCGGGATTCTGAGGAGACTGAGGCAGCTGAGTTTCCCAGGGTCAGGGCTGGTGAGGAGAGAGCTGCAGAGAGAAAGATCACTGGCGATCTGAGGAGTGGCCCTCCTGAGTGTTTGGCTAGTAAGTGCATGGCTGTGAGGAGATTACTGAAGACCAGAGAAAGGACCACTCAAAATGATTTTAAGGGACAATTCCTACACTTTACACGGGGCTGGGAATATTTCCTGTTTCCTTTAGCCAAAGTGGAAAACATTATTTATGGGGCATCAGATAAAGTGCTCAAGAGTTTGTCTCAATAGTGGAGCAAAACTGGCATTTGACTAAATGCTTCCATGGTCCCAAACCTAATAAAGCTGAAAAGCAAGCCTGGGAAGGGTCAAACTTGCTTCCAAAGCTCAAGGATAGTTACAGGGATACAGAAATCTACCATCCAACAAGGTAAACAATGTCTGACATCCAATCAAAGACTGGCCTAAAGACAGGCATGAAAAACAGCAGGGAAATAACCCATAATAAAGAGAAAAGCTGGCTGGGCATGGTGGCTCACGCCTGTTATCCCAGCATTTTGGGAGGCTGAGGCTGGTGGATCACCTGAACTCAGGAGTTTCAGACCAGCCTAGCCAACATGGTGAAACCCTGTCTCTACTAAAAACACAAAAAGTAGCCAGGCATGGTGGCATGCACCTGTAATCCCAGCTACTAGGGAGGGGAAGCAGGAGAATCACGAACTGAGGAGGCAACTCTGGAGCAAGACTCCAACTCAAAAAAAAAAAAAGGAGAAAAGCCAGTTAGAATCAGCTCAGGAATGACGCAGACAATGAGGAGTACCAGAAATGGCAATTCTTGGTATATATATGAAAGACTTTCTTTTCTTATTATTTGAATCTCCTTTAAAGATAATTGGTTTCGGCCGGGCGCGGTGGCTCAAGCCTGTAATCCCAGCACTTTGGGAGGCTGAGGCGGATGGATCACGAGGTCAAGAGATTGAGACCATCCTGGTCAACATGGTGAAACCCTGTTCTCTACTAAAAATACAAGAAAAAATTAGCCGGGCATGGTGGCGCGTGCCTGTAGTCCCAGCTACTCGGGAGGCTGAGGCAGGAGAATTGTTTGAACTCAGGAAGTGGAGGTTGCGGTGAGCCAAGATCACGCCATTGCACTCCAGCCTGGGTAACAAGAGCGAAACTCCGTCTCAAAAAAAAAAAAAAAAGATTATTGGTTTCATAGGGTAATGGCAATAGTACATCAATGCATTTTTATAAATCCCTGAATGTGCATCGGGATGCATTCATTGCCTCAGATGACTTGTGCATTTGATTTTTTGCTGAATAAACCTGTATTTTTAGCATAGACTATAAAAGGTGTTCAATCTGTTAAACACACCCACACATACAATAATAATAATACCTTTGTATGTAGATATTATGGGCACCGTATATAGTAGGTGTGGATCACAAGCCAGGGCAGTGGGTAATTGTTATAGGGATGGAGTGATTGAAAACCACATGTGAACTATGTGGAATGGGTCCAGAGTGAATCCTTGAAACAGAAAGATGTTCTTCAGAAGAAAGGGAATGGATGTTCAAAAAGAGAGTGGATCACCAATTAAGTGATGTAAAAAAGATTCTATGCATCAAGTGAGAGTCATTTACATACTTCTAAGCTCCTTTCTAACTCTAGGAGTCTACAGCTCAATGACACAGTCCATTACCAACTCAGAGCAGTCCCTCATAGATGAAAAACTGTCCTTACAAAAGGTGAGTGGGCTGTAGCCAACAAAACTAAACAAGAGAAATCAATTAGAGGAATACTAATTGGAAAAGAAGAAGGAAAATGATGTTTGCACATGATAAAAGCCGACACCTGAAAAACCTGAATCAATAACACTAATCCAAACAAAAGAATTCAGTGAGATGAAGGATATAAATTTAATACATAGAAATCAATATACACAAATCATGATCAATTAGAAGACATATTGATAGTGAAAACCTCATTTACAATAACAATGAAGAAAATAAAATGCAGCTGATTCTCACTATTCATGTAGTTACATTCTATAAAGTTACATCTAACATCGAATATTGAATCATTGCCCCTAGGGAACATACAAGATTAGGTTCCTGCAGGCCTCTGGTCACAACTAATCAATGCATAATTTTATTTTATGTGTGTTTCTGTTCAAAGATATTTTTTTTTTTGAGGCAGAGTCTCCCTCTGTCACCTAGACTGAAGTGCATTGGCATGATTTTGACTCACTTCAAGCTCTGCCTCCAAGGTTGAAGTCATTATGCCTCAACCTCCTGCGTAGCTGGTATTACAGGTGCCAGCCACCACCCTCAGCTAATTTTTATGTTTTTAGTAGAGACGGGGTTTCATCATGTTGGCCAGGCTGATCTCAAACCCCTGACCTCAGGTAATCCACCCACCTCAGCCTCCCAAAGTGCTGGGACTACAGGCATGAGCCACTGCACCCAGCCCAAAGATATCTTAATATATATCACTGACTCATTAACATAACATATGACTCATTTTGTTATACTCATAACAAAAGCCCTATAAAGGTGTTTACAGTAGGAGAGCTAGAACAAGAAGGCAGTAGATGACTCAGATTTTTTCAATGCTTTGAGAATGCACCTGTCTGCAATGCCTTGAGCATTGATAGTGGGGTTACAAATAAATTTTAGCAGTGATATGGTTTGCATTCATGTCCTGGCCCAAATCACATGTCAAATTATAGTCTCTGGCTGAGTGTGGTGGCTCATGCCTGTAATTCCAGCACTTTGGGAGGCCAAGACTGGCAGATCATTTGAGCTCAGGATTTCAAGACCAGCCTGGGCAACATGGCAAAACCCTGTCTCTACAAAAAGTACAAAACATTAGCTGGGTGTGGTGACACATGCCTGTAGTCACAGCTACTTGGGAAGGCTAAAGTGGGAGAATTGCTTGAACCTATAAGGCAGAGGTTGCAGTGAGCCACAGTTATGCCACTGTACTCCAGTGTGGGCAACAGTGAGACTCTGTCTTAAAAAAATAAAAAACAACTGTAATCCCCAATGTTTGAGGAGAGGCCTAGTGGGAGGGTGATTGGATCATGGGGATGAAGTTCTCATGAATGATTTAGCACCATCCCTCCCTGGGAACTGTATGGTAACTGAGGGCTCATGAGATCTAAAAGTATGTAGCATCTCCCCTCACCTCTCTTTCTCTTGCTCTGGCCATGTAAGTACTGGCTCCTTCTTCACCTTCTGCCATCACTGGAAGCTTCTTGAGGCCTCCCCAGAAGCAGATACTGCCATGCTTCCTGTACAGCCTGCAGAACCATGAGCTAATTAAACTCCTTTCATTATGAATTACCCAATCTCCAGTATTTCTTTATGGCAATGTGAGAATGGACTAATAAAAGCAGGTAGGTGAATGCACAAACATGGAATTTGTAAATAATGAGGATGGACTGTATATAGAATAAACTTAACAAGAAATATGCAAAACCAATACATGAAAAACTTTGAAACACTCCTAAAAGACACAAAAGTAAACTGGAACATCCCTTGTTTTAGATAGGATGACTGAACATGATGAAGATGATAGTTCTCCCCGAGTTCATGTATTACTATAACACAATCCAAGTAAAAACAACAGCAAATATTTTATGAGACTTGAAAAGTCTGTATTAAAGTGGTAAACCAAAAATAAAATTCTAAGTCCCCCAAACATCTGAATGGCCTTCCCCCAGACCAGGGCACTCTAAACTTTAACCTAAAAGACAAGTTCAGGCCCTGAGGGGAGGTAGGGATGGACATGCCTCATTATACCTTCCAGCATTCACATCAACACAGACCTTAAGCCTGATAAGAAATAGTTACAGTCTATTCTCTCTAAAGCTTGCTACCTGGAGGCTTCATTAGCTTGATTAAACTTTGGTCCCAACAACATCTTATTGTAACTCAGACATTCTTTTCCCTTGATAATGTCTTTTAACCACTTGCCAATCAGAACATTTTAAAATCTACCTGTAACCTGGAAGCCCCCTCTTTGAATGGTCTCTTGCCTTTCTGGACCAGATCATTGTATATCTTAAAGGTATTTAACTGATGTCCCATGTCTCCCTAAAATGTCTAAAATCAACCTGAACCCTGACCACCTTGGACACACATTCTCAGAATCTCCTGAGGGCTGCGTCACGGGCTGTGGTCACTCATATTTGGCTCAGAATAAATCTCTACAAGTATTTTACAGAGTTTAACTCTTTTTGTCAACAAAGTTTGTATGGAAAAAGAAACGTGAATTGCTAAGAAAATACTAAAAAATAAAGCTATGAGGAGGAACTTATGTTAGCATATTAAACACTATGATATCTCTATGCTTAAAATAGTGTGGCAACAATGAGATATCATCTCACACCAGTGAGAATGGCTAGTATTAAAAGTAAAGAAAAAAACCAACATATGTTGAAGAGGTTGTGGAGAAAAAGGAATGCTTTTACACTGTTGGTGGGAGTGTAACTTAATTCAACTGTTGTGGAGGACAATTCCTCAAAGACCTAAAGACAGAAATACCATTCACCCCAGCAATCCCATTACTGGCTTTATACCAAAAGAAATATAAATATTTCTATTATAAAGAATATATATAGAGAATAGATTATAAAGAATATTTATATATAAAGAATAGAAATATAAATATTTCTATTATATACATACACATGTATGTGTATGTTTATTTCAGTGCTATTCACAATAGCAAAGACATGGAATTAACCCCAAATGCCTATCAATGATAGACTGGATAAAGAAAATGTGGTACATATACACCATGGAATACTATGCAGTCATAAAAAGGAATGAGATCATGTTCTTTGCAGGGACATAGATGGAGTTGGAGGCCATTGTCCTTAGCAAAATAAGACAGGAACAGAAACCATATATTGCATATGTTCTCACTTATAAGTGGGAGCTAAATGATGAGAACACATGGACACATGGCTAGGGGAACAAAACACATTGGAGCCTATCGGAGGGTTGGAGGGTGAGAGAAGGGAGAGAAGCAGAAAAAAATAACCAATGGATACTAAGCTTAATATCTAGGGAATGAGATAATCTGTACAACCAACCCCCATGACACACATTTACTTATGTGACAAATCTGCACATGTACCCCTGAACTTAAAAGTTAAAAATATAGTAGTGTGGTGCTATCACAAGGAAAGGCAAATGGATTGATGGAATAAAATATTGTCCAAAAAAAGACATATATTAATCTATCTATCATCTATCTGTCTGTCTATATATCTATCTGCAATTGTCCATCAATATTCAGGGGATTGGTTACAGGAACACCTTGGACACCAAAATCTGAGGATCTTCAAGCCCTGCAGTTGGTCCTGTGGAACCCATAGAAACAAAAGGTCAGCCCTCCATATTTATGGGTTCCACATGCCATGAATACTGTAATTTTCAATCCACAGTTGGTTGATCCACAGATGCAGAACCTGAGGATACAGAGGGCTGGGCTGACTGTATTTGGAAATGTTGTATATTATAAAGGTGGTATCTTCAGTGTATTAAATCACTTAAACTTTAATACAAGTGCTAGAACAAAGGATAAGCATTGGAAAACCAAATAAGGATCCATGCCTCACGTCATGAGACATCAATCACCACCTGCAGAGCTCTGTCCTGCAGCCACTGACTCAATGACGGATGAATGAATATACTCTCACATCTAGTACAGTGATTTGAGTGGACTAGGGTTGGTCATAATGCTTTCAGAGGGTGAATGCAGTTAACTGACCATAACTCCCTGTACCTCCTCACATTTATTCACTCTAGGTTCAATAACACAGGTTCTAAGTCAACATGCTTGTGGATAATTAACATGGTTAAAAGAGTGATTTTATGAATGCTAAAAGCTTTAGGTTCTGGGGCTCAGAGTAAACACCACTAATGGGTAATTCCCCTTTGAGCTCCCCCAGAGAGGGCTATCCAGCACAAAATTTACATGAGCAAACAGAGTAGAGACAAAGGGATGTGGGGTAAACAGACCTAACTGGGGAAGTGTTATTGTCCCTATCTTGTACCCTATGACTTAAAATTCTAATGTAATGAACTGGCTACCTTCAGCCTGTTCCATTAAAACCTTTCAGCCTTCCAAAAGGTTTGAGACTATAATCTTCTAACTTTCCCTAATATTTCCTTAATATTTTGCCCACCACCCCGAGTGAATCCCAACAATACCACATAGAAGAATAAACTCCAAATGGACAAAAGTCCGAAATGTAAAAAAAAAAAATTGAAAGCAGACAGGTACTACAAGAAAACCTGAGTGAATTCCTCTGTAACTTTATGTAGAGAAAGGTTTTCCAACTATAATTCAAAATTCAGGTGCAATAAAATGGTGCTAACCTTGACTAGATAAAAATTTATTTATTTATTTATTTATTTATTGAGATGGAGTTTCACTCTTGTTACCCAGGCTGGAGTGCAATGGCACGATCTTGGCTCACCACAACCTCCACCTCCTGGGTTCAGGCAATTCTTCTGCCTCAGCCTCCTGAGTAGCTGGGATTACAGGCACGCGCCACCGTGCCCAGCTAATTTTTTGTATTTTTAGTAGAGACGGGGTTTCACCATGTTGACCAGGATGGTCTTGATCTCTTGACCTCGTGATCCACCCGCCTCAGCCTCCCAAAGTGCTGGGATTACAGGCGTGAGCCACCGCGCCCGGCCCTTGCTTGTTTTTACTATAATGTTTTTTCTTGGTTCTTTACAGAGTGATAAAATAGAATTTTACTAATTGTGTTTAATTCAATAGTTTTAGTTTTGTGGTGATTGCTCCAAAAATCAAAGGTAATGCGGGGCATTAAGACACAAATTTACCATTTTCAATTAGGTCCCTCAAGGTTCTGGAACCCTGGCTCCTGCCCAGAGTGATGTCCTACCATATACAATGCTGTTGGCATCTCAACCACTATGGAGCCACTTCAGGAGCATGGAATTGGTCAATTGGGAATTGAGTGGTAATAGGATGAGTACATTTGTCTGTTTCTCACATAGCCCTGTTTTGTGTAATTCTTTAAGTTTACATTCTTTGTCTTTGGGGGATGAACCCTGGCCAAACTGTGCCATGTATTAGGGGAAGAAAATCTCTTTTTGACAGCATATTCCTGCTCTGCGGTGGTTGTGATGTCACCAGCATATGGCATGCTGGCATCTCTGCAAAGGGGCCAGAGGTACGAATTTTAGCAGAAAGCTTCAGATACAGACAAGAGCCAAACCTGGTCTTTTTTTTTTTTTTTGAGACGGAGTTTCTCTCTTGTTACCCAGGCTGGAGTGCAATGGCGCAATCTCGGCTCACCGAAACCTCCGCCTCCTGGGTTCAGGCAATTCTCCTGCCTCAGCCTCCCGAGTAGCTGGGATTACAGGCACACGCCACCATGCCCAGCTAATTTTTGTATTTTTAGTAGAGACGGGGTTTCACCGTGTTGACCAGGATGGTATCGATCTGTTGACCTCGTGATCCACCCGCCTCGGCCCTGCCGCCAGGGCCCGGCTGGGGTTGCGCCAGGAGCTGTCCGTGGTCCTGAAACGATGCCGGCTGAGACTGGGCGAATGAGCGCTGTCCGTAGTGCTGAAGAGGTTCCTGGGCCCCCGGAAGTGGCGGCAGCGGTGTCTAGGAGGCTGGCAGCCGGAAAACCAGCAGGAATGCTTCTTGGAGGAAGTAACCCTTGAGGTGGGGAGGGTTTTTCAGGAAGGGAGAGGATAGCATGAGCAAAACCTTAGAGATATTAATAATCGTGGACTGATAATCATGGCCTTGTGAGCGTGCATTGTCACGCCAATCCGTCAAGATTCCGAGCCCTTTGTGCTCGCCTCTCCCTCCAGTACCTAGTGCGTGCGCCGCTCCCTACCCCGCCCCCAATCCCACGGTTGCCAGTAGCTCCTTGTGCCCGTACCTTGCCGCGCCAATCCGTTAAGGTGCCAGGTCCTTAGTGCGCGCACCTCTCTCTACAGTACACGGCGCGCGTGCCGCCCCTTCCATTGCCATCAGGTGCCTTGTGCGCGAACCTTGCCGGCCAACCGTTAACGTCTGGCGTCCTTTGTGCGCGCCTCTCCTTCCAGTACCTGTCAGGCGCTCCTTCTACCCCGCGCCCTCCCCTGCCGCCATTGCTTGCAGGACGCTCAGAGTCCAGCTCTCCAGAGTCCAATGATCCGAAAATACCCCGCTGCTCCCAGGAGCGGTTACCTGGGCACTCTGTGCCCTTTGTCCCTGTCCCGGTCCCTTCCCGGGGCCGAGGACCCGCCAGTAGGACTCAGTTTCCTTGAGCCTGCTGCCTGCATCCCTCACTTGATTTTGCTTGCGGGATCTCTCCGTTGCTCCTGCCCCTGGACGGAGTGGCAAGCCTTCCTACAAGTACCCAGACACTTGAAATCAGCCTGGTGTCGAAACAACTCCAAGGATTTATCTTTCAAGCCCTGTGTTCTGTCTGGCCATCCTGCCTTCAATTTGAGGCACAGGTACCGCAGCAAGCCAGTGCCCTAAGGACTCTCAGAGAGGCCCTGGAGGAGGTAATCACCTTTTCTGTGGCCCAGAACAACCAGCTCTACCCCACACTCCCATCCAGAGATCATGTAGAGGACCCTCATGGAGAGTGGGGCAGGGATGCCTGAGCAGGACAAGGACCCCAGAGTCCAAGAGAAGCCCGATAGTCAGAAAGGGGGTCCTGAGGGCACCAGCGATGCATGGTCTGCATGTACACCTGTGTGGGACATTGGAGGCCTCTCTCCCTTCGTACCCAGGCCTGGGCCTGGGCCCCTGCAGAGAAACCTCCATACCCAGAGGTCAGAAATCCCATCTAACCAGACATCCCAGCCCTCCGGGATCTCCAAGCACAATGCCATCCACAGCTCCTACAGCTCCACGGGAGGCTTCCCGTGGCTAAAAAGGAGGAAGGGACCAGCCTTATCCCACTGCCAGCTGCCCCTCACTTCTTCAAAGACAGTGAGTGAGGTCAGCCCTCAGGCTGTCTCTCAGGGTCAGGCCCAGTGTGAAAAGGCAGCAGATTCAGCACCTGGGGAGAAACCGGCCCCCAGGAGTGGCTCCCCACATCTCAGGCTTCTAGGCCTCATAAACGAAAGTTCCGCCTGCTGCCACGCAGGCGAGGGGAGCCTCTGAGGCTGCCATCTCCCTTACAGCTGGGGCTCCGGGTCACCGCTGAAGACCTGGACCTGGAGAAAAAGGCCGAAATCATGTGCCTTAATAGTGCACTGCAGGGTGAATAAAAGTCCCTCTGGGAGTGCAGAGCCTCACTGCTGTCCCATGCTTTGTCCTCACCGGCAACAGGGACATCTTCTCTGCCTGCTGTCCCTAAAGCATCCAGCACAGAGGCACAGCAGGAGAGACGCACGTCCCAAGATAGCCTGGAACCCGTGGCCCTCCAAGCATCTGCTGCAGGGTCCCCCTCTAGACCTCCTGTGTCTGGGAGAAAGTGCAGGTCAGCAGGCCCCTGTTCTCCTCCTCAGACACCCTTCCTGCCACCTCAGCACATTCCCAGGTCTCAGCCCAGGTCTCATCGTCTGCTCCAACACAGCTAGACCAGGGCACCACAGCACACTCAGCCGCAGGGGATTCCTTACCCACCACTTCCACCTCGAGTTCCCGCACCAAAAGAAAGTCAATCTGGGCTGCAGACCTGGCTGGGAGCCTTCCTGATCCATCTTCTCCCTCTCCCACCACCACTCTGGCTAGACAGAGGGTCAGTGGTCCCACCTCACTACCGAAACTTCCCGTGACCGCTGCAGCCACCACCCAGCCCAAACCTGTGGTCCTTCATGGACAGCAGCAGGGAACCCGCGGCTTGAAGCAGCCCCATCCATCTTCCCATCCAGCTGCTTCAGCTGTAGCCCAGGCCTCATCTTCTGCTCCAACACAGCCAGCCCAGGGCACCACAGCACACTCAGCTGCAGGGGTTTCCTTACCCACCACTTCCACCTGGAGCCTGGCTGGGACCCGTTCTAACCCATCTTCTGCCTCTCTCATGACCGCCCTGGCCAGACTTATGATCAGTGGTCCCACCTCACTACCAAAACTAGCTGTGACCGCTGCAGCCACCACCCAGTCCAAACCTGTGGTCCTTCATGAACAGCAGCAGGGAACCAGTGGCTTGAAGTGGCCTCACCATCTTCCCATCCAGCTGCTTCAGCTGCAGCCCAGACCTCATCTTCTGCTCCAACACAGCCAGCCCAGGGCACCACAGCGCCCTCAGCTGCAGGGGTTTCCTTACCCACCTGGAGCCTGGCTGGGACACTTTCTAACCCATCTTCTGCCTCTCTCATCACCACCCAGGCCAGACTGACGATCAGTGGTCCCATCTCACTACCAAAAGTTGCCGTGACTGTTGCAGCCACCACCCAGCCCAAACCTGTGGTCCTTCACGAACAGCAGCAGGGAACCTGCTCCTTGAAGCAGCCTCATCCATCTTCCCATCCAGCTGCTTCAGCTGCAGCCCTGGCCTCATCTTCTGCTCCAACACAGCCAGCCCAGGGCACCACGGCACCCTCAGCTGCAGGGGCTTCTTTACCCACCACTTCCACCTGGAGCCTGGCTGGGACCCATTCTAAGCCATCTTCTGCCTCTCTCATGACTACCCTGGCCAGACTTATGATCAGTGGTCCCACCTCAGTACTGAAACTGCCCGTGACCGCTGCAGCCACCACCCAGCCTAAACCTGTGGTCCTTCATGGATAGCAGCAGGGAACCCGTGGCTTGAAGTGGGCTCATTTGTATTCAGATCCAGCTGCTTTAGCCTTGAGCCCCTTCACCAAAAGAAAGTTGACCTGGGCTGCAGGCCTGGCTGGGACCTGTTCTAACCCATCTTCTGCCTCTCTCATCACCGCCCTGGCCAGACTGACTATCAGTGGTCCCACATCAGTACTGAAACTTGCCGTGACCGCTGCAGCCACCACCCAACCCAAACCTGTGGTCCTTCATGGACAGCAGCAGGGAACCCATGGCTTGAAGCGGGCTCGTCCGTATTCAGATCCAGCTGCTTTAGCCTTGAGACCCCACCACCCGACCAAAAGAAAGTTGACCTGGGCTGCAGGCCTAGCTGGCACCCTTTCTAACCCATCTTCTGCCTCTCTCATCACCCCCCTGGCAAGACCGAGGGTCAGTGGTCACACCTCACTATGGAAACTTGCTGTTATGGCTGCAGCCATCACTCAGCCCAAACCTGTGGTCCTTCATGGACAGCAGCAGGGAACCCGCACCTTGAGGCGGGTTCGTCCATATTCCCGTCCAGCTGCTTCAACTGCAGCCCAAGCCTCATCTTCTGCTCCAAGACAGCCAGTCCAGGGCACCACAGCACACTCAGCCACAGGGGTTTCCTTACCCACCACTTCCACCTCGAGCCTGGCTGGGACCCTTTCTAACCCTTCTTCTTCCTCTCCTCATGATGCACATGCTGCCTCCTCAGACTGTACACCTGCCAAAGTTAGACAGCTCCGCTAAACAAGATCCGAAAAAGTTTTCTCTAGATTTCCTTCTAATATTTTTCTAGTTTCGTATCTTGCGTTCAAGTCTCAGATCTATCTGGAGGTCATGTTTGTATACGGTGAGATAAAAAGTGTCCACTTTCATTCTTCTGCATGTGGTTATCCAGCCCTCCCAGTACCATTCACTGAAGATGGTGTCCTTTCCCCAGTGTGTGTTTCTGTCAGCTGTGTCGAAGATCAATTGGCTGTGAATATGTGGCTGTCTTTCTGGGCTCCGTCATGTGTCCCATTGATCTATGTGTCTATTTTCCTCCTAGCACCATGTTGTTTTAGTTACCATGCACTTGTCAAAAACTTTGTCTTTCTAATTTGTAGTGAAATGGAATGCCTCCAATTTTTTTCTATTTGCTGAGGAAGGCTTTGACTCTTTGAGCTCTTTTTTTGGTTCCATATGAATTGTATGATTTTCCAATTCCCTGAGTGATGACACTGGTGTTTTGGCAGGGGTTGTATGGACTCTCTAGGCTGCTTTGGGCAGTACAGTCATTTTAATGCTACGAGTTTCTTCCATCCATTAGCATGGGATGATTGTCCATTTCTTTCTGTCTTATTGAAAATTTTCATCAGCGTTTTGCAGTTTTTCTTGTAGAAATCTTCAAACTCCTTGTCAAATTTATTCTGTGGCATATCTTTTTTCATTTTTTTGCTACTGTAAATGGGACTGCCTTCTTAATTTCCTTCCCAATAGACCATTATTGGTGTATAGAAATGCTGCTGATTTTGGTACATTCATTCTGTATCCTGCAATAACTGTTTTTATTTATTGATCAACTCTAGGGGTTTTCTGGTGGAACCTTTATATGTTTCTAAATCCAAGATCATATCTTCATCAGATAAGGATAATTTGCTGTCCTCTTTTCCAATGTGTCTGGCTTTTATTTTTTCCTCTTGCCTGATTGTGTGATGCTGAACAGCAGTGGTGAGAATGGGCATCCTTGTGTTGTTCCTGTTTACAGAGGAAATGCTTTCAACGTTTCCTCATTATGTAGTCGGTTAGGCATGGCTTTGTCATAAACAGCTTTGATTATTTTCAGGTATGTTGGTTGTTTTTTTCTTTTTTAGATGAAGTCTTGTTCTTTTCACCCAGGCTGCAGTGCAATGGCGGGATCTCAGCTCACTGCAACCTCCGTCTCCCAGGTTCCAGCAATTCTCCTGCCTCAGAGTCCCGAGTAGCTGGGATTACAGGTGCCTGCCACCATGCCTGACTAATTTTTGTACTTTTAGTAGAGATGGGGTTTCACCATGTTGACCAGGCTGCTCTTGAATTCCTGACATCAGGTGATCCACTCACCTCAGCCTCTCAAAATTCTGGGATTACAGGCGTGAGCCATGTGCCCAGCCACTTTCAGGTATGTTTCTTTTATGCCTAGCGTGTTTGTTCGTTTTTCAGGACATGGCCTCACTCTGTCTTTCATGTTGGAGTGCAGCGGCAACATCAGAGCTACAGCTTTGAACTCCTGAGCTCCAGCCACCTCAGCCTCCCGAGTAGCTGGGACTCTGGGTGCATGTCACCAGAGCTGGGTAATTTTTATTTTTATATTGTTGTAGAGATCTATGTTCCTTAGGTTGGTCTTGAACTGCTGATGTCAAGTGATCCTCCCAGCTCAGCTTCCCAAAAGCACTAAGTTTATAGCATGAGGCAGCGCCTGGCCCAGAGTCACATGTTAACATCACCTCCTCACTGCTGGGCTCTGATTTTGGCAGTGACTGAAAACCTTAAAGGAGAGTTTCTGGTCAGGCCATGCCCAGTCTGTGAACAGGGGGGAAATGAAAAGATGGCATGTGGATGGTTCTTTTGGAGATCTGGCCAGACAAGTGCTAGATGCTGTTTCCTGGAATACAGGACCATGAGATGTTCAGTCCAGCTGCCTGGTCCAGGGCCCCTAGCACCATCTAGTTTGGGAGCTCACCCAGAAGGTACCTTGGTTGCCCAAAGCAGCTGATCTTCCTACCAATCTGGTCCCATTTGAGAAATGAGACTGGGCCCTGTCCTCCAGGAAACCATTCCTGTGCATGCCTGTCTTTGTCCTCACCTTGCCTGGCCTCTCTATACCATGAGAACTTGGATTTGCAAGGCTCTGCCTGTCAGCTGAGCATCATGGAGCAGCTCTCTTCTGTTCCAGTGAGGATGCCCAGGCTCCTACACCCCTGCCCAGATCTGACTGTTCTCCCCTTCACCCACAGGTGACCTCCAACCCAATCCTGCTCACTGTCTTCTGGCAGCTGCTCTGAAAAAGGGCATTTTGGCCTCAAGGGCTGAGCATGTCACTCCCTGTTTTCTGTTGATCTTTCCAGCGCTGTTTGGGACAGCCCATGCATTTGTTCATGTACTGCTTCTTTGGAAGGCAATCAGGGCTTTCTTTCAGGCATGGGTATAAAAGTTCTTGTGAGATTTGTGGATGAAGTCTGCCTTCAGTACCTGGATAGGACTAGCAGGCTTCCACTGCACGACTGCAATCTTACTACTTTAAAAAATTTTTTTAATTTAATTAATTTATTTATTTTGAGAAGAAGTCTGGTTCTGTCACCCAGGCTGAAGTGCAGTGACATGATCTTGGCTTACTGCAACCTCTGCCTCCTGGGTTCAAGTAATTCTCCTGTCTCAGCTTCCTGAGCAGCTGAGACCACAGGCGCATGCCACAACACCCAGCTAGTATTTATATGGTTGGTAGAGATGGGATTTCCCCATATTGGCCAGGCTGATCTCAAACTCCTGACTTCAGGTGAACCACCTACTGGAGCCTCCCAAAGTGATAGAAATACAGGCTTACATTTATTTATTTGAGCTGGAGTGTTGAGCAGTCATTCTGGCTAGAGTGCAGTGGCCCAAACTTGGCTCACTGCACCTCTGCTTCCTGAGTTCAAGCGATTCTCCTGCCTCGGTGTCAACAGTACCTGGGTATAAAGGCAAGTGCCACCTCGTCCTGCTAATTTTTGTGTTTTCTGCTCCCTGCCTCACCAGGCCCACAAGCAGAGAGGAGTGCAAGGCAAGGCAATTTTAGGAAAGGTAACTCCAGGCAAGGCAAGGCAAGGTAATTCCAGGCAAGGCAAGGCAAGGCAAGTCAAGGCAATTCCAGGAAAGGCAAGACAAGACAAGGCAAGAGAAGGCAAGGAAAGGCAAGGCAAGAAAATTTCTAGCAAGGCAAGTCAATGCAAGACAATTCCAGGCAAGTAAATTTTAGGCAAAGCTAGGCAAGGCAATTGCAAGCAAGGGAAATCCAGGCACAGTAGGCAAGGCAAGGCAATTCTAGGCATGGCGATTCCAGGCAAGGCAAGGCAAGCCAAGACAAGGCAATTCCAGACAGGGCAATTCCAGGCTAGGCAAGGCAAGGCAATGCAAGAAAATTCCCAGCAGGGCAAGACAATTTCAGGCAAGGCAATTTCAGGCAAGGCAAGGCAGGCCAATTCCAGGCAAGGTAATTCAAGGTAAGAAAAGGCAAGGCAAAGCAGGGTAATTCCAGGCAAGGCAATTCGAGGCAAGGCAAGGCAGGGAAATTCCAAGCAAGGCAATTTGAGGCAAGGCGAGGCAAGCCAAGGCAAAAAAGGCCAATTCCAGCCAAGGCGTTTTCAGGCAAGGCAATTCCGGCAAGGCAAGGCAAGACAAAGCAAGGCAATTCCAGACAAGGCAATTCCAGGAAAGGCAAGGAAAAACAATTCCAGGCAAGGCAAAGTAAGGGAAGGCAAAGTAAGGCAAGGCAATGCAATTCTAGGCCAGGCAATTCCAGGCAAGGCAAGGCAATTCCAGGCAATGCAAGGCAAGGCATTTTCAGGCAAGGCAATTGCCCAAAAGGCAATTCCAGGCAAGGCAATTCCAGCAAGGCAATTCCAGTCAAGGCAAGGCAAGGAAATTCTATGCAAGGCAATTCCAGGTGAGGAAAGGCAAGGCAAGGCAATTTGAAACAAGGCAATTCCAGTCAAGGCAAGGTAAGACAAGGCAATTCCAGGCAAGGCTATTCCAGGGAAGGCAAGTCAGGGCAATTCCAGCCAAAAAGAAGCAAAGTAATGCAATGCAATTCCAGGCGAGGCAATTCCAGGTAAGGCAAGGCAAGTCAATTCCAGGCATGTCAACTCCAGGCAAGGCAATTCTAGGCAAGGCAATGCAAGTCAAAGCAATTCCAGGCAAGGCAACAGAAGATGAGGCAAGGCAATGCAATTCCAGGCTAGGCAATTGCAGGAAAGGCAATTCCAGGTTGGGCAAGACAAGGAAGGGAAGGTCAATGAAGTCAATGTCAGGCAAGGCAATTCCAGGTAAGGCAAGGCAAGGCAATTCCAGGTAAGGCAAGGCAAGGCAATTCCAGGGAAGGCAACTCCAGGCAAGGCAAGGCAAGGCAATATCAGGCAAGACAATTTTAGGCAAGACAATTTCAGGCAAGGCAAAGCAACGCAGGGTAAGGCAATTCCAGGCAAGGGAAGGGAAGGCTATTCCAGGCAATGCAAGGCAAGGCAAGGCAAACAAATTCCAGCAAGGAAATTCCAGGCAAGGCAAGGAGAGGCAAGGTCATTCCAGGCAAGGCAAGGCAATGCAATGCAACACAATTCCAAGCAAGGAAATTCCAGGCAAGACAAGGCAAGGCAATTGCAGGCAAGGTAATTTCAGACAAGGAAAGGAAAGGCTATTCCAAGCAAGGCAAGGCAAGGCAAGGCAAAAAAGCACAATTTCAGGCAAGGTGATTTCAGGCAAGGCAAGGCGATTTCAGGCAAGGCAAGGCAAGACAAGGCAAGACAATTTCATACAAGTTAATTTGAGGAAAGGCAAAAATAGGCAATTCCATCCAAGGTAATTCCAGGCAAGGCAAGGTAAGGCAAGGCAATGCAATTCTAGGCCAGGCAATTCTAGGCAAGGCAATTCCAGGCAAGGCTATTCCAGGCAAGGCTATTCCAGGCAAGGCTATTCCAGGCAATGCAAGGCAAGGAAAGGCAAAAAATTCCAGGCAATGCAAGGCAGAGAAACGCAAAAAATTCCAGGCAAAAAAATTAGGCAAGGCAAGGCAGGGCAGGGCAGGGCAGGGCAGGGCAGGGCAGGGAAGGGAAGGGTAGGGAAGGGCAGGGCAGGGAAGGGTAGGGCAGGGCAGGGTAGGGCAGGGAAGGGCAGGGAAATCTAAGGCAAGGTAATTCCAGGCAAGGCAAGGCAAGGCAATTCCAGGCAAGGCAAGGCAAGGCAATTCCAGGCAAGGCAAGGCAAGGCAGGGCAGGGCAGGGCAGGGAAGGGCAAGGCAGGGCAAGGAAAGGCAAGAGAAGGCAAAATTACAGGCAAGGCAAGACAAGGAAATCTAAGGCAAGGCAATTCCGGGAAAGGCAATTCCTGGCAGGGCAAGGCAAGGCAAGGCATTCCTGGCAGGACAAGAAAATTTGAGGCAAGGCAATTTCAGGCAAGGTAAGGCATGGCAATTCCAGGCAAGGCAAAGCAACGCAAGGCAGTCCAATTCCAGGCAAGGTAATTTGAGGTAAGAAAAGGTAAGGCAAAGCACTTTGGGTAATTCCAGGCAAGGCAATTCAAGGCAAGGCAAGGTAGGGAAATTTCAAGCAAGGCAATTCAAGGCAAGGCGAGGCAAGGCAAAAAAGTGCAATTCCAGGTAAGGTGATTTCAGGCAAGGCAAGGCAAGGCAATTCCAGGAAACACAAGGAAAAACAATTCCAGGCAAGGCAATTTCAGGCAAGACAAGGAAATGCAAGGCAAGTCAATTCCAGGCAATGCAAGGCAAGACATTTTCAGGCAAGGCAATTGCCAGAAAGGCAATTCCAGGCCAGGCAAGGCAAGAAAAGGCAGGGAAAGGCAATTCAAAGCAAGGCAATTCCCACTAAGGCAAGGCAAAGCAATTCCAGGCAAGGCAATTCCAGTCAAGGCAAAGCAATACAATGCAAGGCAAGGATATTCTAGGCAAGGCAATTCCAGGCAAGGAAAGGCAAGCCATGACAACTTGAAACAAGGAAATTCCAACCAAGGCAAGGCAAGAGAAGGCAATTCCAGGCAAGGCTATTCCAGGGAAGGCAAGGCAGGGCAATTCCAGGCAAGGAGAAGCAAGGTAATGCAATGCAATTCCAGGCAAGGCAATTCCAGGTAAGGCAAGGCAAGGCAAGTCCAGGCATTTCAATTCCAGGCATGGCAATGCAAGTCAAAGCCATTCCAGGCAAGGCAAAACAAGGCAAGGCAAGGCAAGGCAAAAAAATTCCAGGCTAGGCAATTGCAGGAAAGGCAATTTCAGGCTAGGCAAGGCAAGACAAGGCAGGGAAAGGCAATATCAGGCAAGGTAATTCCAAAAAAGGCAAGGCAATGCAGGGTAAGGCAATTCCAGACAAGGGAAGACAAATCTATTCCAGGCAAGGCAATTGTATGCAATGCAAAGCAAGGCAAGGCAAACAAATTCCAGCAAGGAAATTCCAGGCAAGGCAAGGAAAGGCAAGGAGAGGCAAGGTCATTCCAGGCAAGGCAATTTCAGGCAAGGCAAGGCAAGGCAATGCAATGCAACGCAATTCCAAGCAAGGAAATTCCAGGCAAGAAAAGGCAATTCCAGACAAGGTAATTTCAGACAAGGAAAGGAAAGGCAAAGAGAGGCAAGGTCATTCCAGGCAAGGCAATTTCAGGCAAGGAAAGGCAATGCAATGCAACGCAATTCCAAGCAAGAAAATACCAGGCAAGACAAGGCAAGGCAATTCCAGACAAGGTAATTTCAGACAAGGTAATTCCAGGAAAGGCAATTCCAGGCAAGGCAAGATAAGGCAAAACAATGCAATTCTAGGCCAGGCAATTCCAGGCAAAACAAGGCAAGGCAATGCAATTCCAGGAAATGAAAGGCAAGGCAATTCCAGGCAAGGCAAGGTAAGGCAAGGCAAAAATTCCCAGGCAAGGCAAGGTAAGGCAAGGCAAAAATTCCCAGGCAAGGCAAGGCAAGGTAAGGCAAGACCAATCCAGGCAAGTCAATTTCAGATAAGGCAAGGCAAGGCAATTCCAGGGAAGGCAACTCAAGGCAAGGCAACTCCAGGCAAGGCAAGGCAAAGCAACTCCAGGCAAGAGAAGGCAAAGCAAGGCAATTCGAGGCAAGGCAAGGAAAGGAAACCCAAGGCAATTCCAGGAATTGCCTTGCCTGGAATTGCCTTTCCCAGCCTTGCCTTTTCTTGCCTTGCCTGGCCTGGAATGCCATTCCGGCCTTGCCTTGCCTTGCCTGGAATCATCTTTACTGGAATTGCCCTGCCTTGCCTAGAATTGCCTTGCCTGGAATTACGTTGCCTTGCCTTGCTTGACTGGAATTTTCTTGCCTGAAATTGCCTTGCCTTGCCTTGCTTTTTCTTGCCTTGCCTTGGCTTGCCTTGCCTTACATGGAATTGCCTTGAGTTGCCTTGCCTTGCCTTGAATTGCCTTGTTTTTCCTTCCCTTCCCTGGAATTACCTTGCCTTGCCTTACCTGCAATTGCCTTGCCTCGCCTTACCCACAATTGCCTTGCCTTGAATTTCCTTTCCCTTCCTTGTCTTGCCTTGCCTTGCCTGAAATTGACTTGCCTGGCATTGCCTTCTCTTGCCTTGCCTTGCCTTGTCTGGGATTGCCTTGCCTGGAATTGTTTTGTCTTGCCTTGCCTTGCCTGGAATTGCCTGGAGTGGAAGAAAATGGCTCCAGTGTCAGACTCCCCAACATGCTGCATGCTCAGCAGGATCTGCCAATGGACACCCAGGGAATACTCACCTTCCCCACCTTGGGAGAGGTCGCTGGACAAAACTGCACTGGGTGTTGGTATCATCCAGGACCCCACACACTTCCTGAGTGTGATCCTGCTTCTCTCCTCTGGGCAGCTGCATCCTTTCCTCCTGCAGGATTTTCTTTAAACTTGGCTCTGGGTTTCATCTCCCTTCTCCCCTCTCCTTGCCCCAACCTCCTTTTCCCGAAAAAGTGAGGGAATTGTTTATGGGTTAATTTGTTGAAAATAAGTGGCGGCCTCCATGCTTCTGTTTTCTTTTAGCCTGCTGGTAATGCAGGGTTACAAAGGATGCCTGGGCTCCCACACAGGTGCTGGCAGAGGGGGCAGCAGGTGGTGCTGTGCCTCTGCCTTCTCGAGGAAGGAGGCTGTCCCCATGCCCCTCGTCCTAGGCTGGGCTTCTTCCTGACCTTCTGAATATCCTGTAATCCAGAGACCTCAGAACCCACTCCTGAGAGAGCAGAGCCAGGCACTTAGAGAAAGACAAAATGGTGCATTCTAGGATCTTATTAAGTATCTAAATCTGTTAGGAAAAAAATTAGGAACTATGTATAAAACTTAAAATATTCAAGTATTAAAAGGTTATTTGAATCAAAGTTTTAAAACATGCCATCAGCAAGCTTCTACCACTAAGTTGGGACCTTCACAGAGGTTGAGCAAATTACCTGAGTTGAGAGAAAAATGAAGCCACCTGTGCTGGGGACACTTGAGGCAGGGAGAATGTGGGCAGAGGGAAGCCAGGGAAGTCCCGGCCTGTGGAAGCCAAACAGGAGAGCGTGAGCCAGGAGGGCGGTCAAGACTGGGGATGAGGTTGCTCTCCCTGGAGGAGGAATCCTAAAGCGCACAGCCTGGGACTCCCTCCCCTGGGGTCTAGTCCCCCAACATTTCACAGGCCTCCTGGAGCTGCCTTCCAATAAGGACAAACACAGCAAGAAAAGATCCATTTCTGCACAAAAGTCCTTCTGGAAAGAAGAAAAAAGGAAGCTGTGAATGGAGTCAAAACGTTACCCAGTGCTGACTTAGCCTCTCAATTCTTTTCTAAATGGAGTGTGGTTTCCTAGTCAGGGAATGGAAGAGGCCCCTCTCACACAGGGACAGGGCCATGACCCCAGAGGATGAAGCAGCAGCATTTATTCAAGATACAACAGTGAGGGGATCCTGTCACATTCCTGTCTCCCCGGAGAGGGCACATCTCGAGATGTGATCCAGGAGACATATAAGTTCCTAAAATCACTCCCTTCACTCTATCCCCTAGGACCTGGCCCAGACTCTGAGATACACTGGCTTGGGGTGCTTTGGGTGGCCGTGTGAAAAACCACAGTTTAGGGCCAGTCTGGGGCTTCCAGACCTGGCCAGGATGTCCCCTGGCCACCTGTCCTTCTGCTTCATCTCACTGTCCATTGGCAGATGGCCTGATGCTCAGGGCTGGCCCAAGGACACCTCAGGAAGGTTTGGTTCCCACTCTACAATGGTCCGATTATCCAGAGGTTTTAGGGACATCTATCTGCCTTCTGGAGATGGACAGAGGCCTTAAGACTTCGGTTGAGAACAGAATGCTCTGTCTCTTACTGTCTGGGGCAGGGATGGCCTCCAGCTGCCGAAAGTACAGCAGAGCCTGGACCTGCCAGAAAGAGTGGGAAAGAGGAGAGAGGTTCATTGGGTGCTCACAGCTGGTGATCTTTAGCCCCCGAGCCCAGCTCAGGTGCTGGGTCCTCTGCTGCTGCCATGAAGCCTTTACAGTGAGACAGGAGGTGGGGGTGTAGATGCGGACAAGGCATGACTTGGGGGGTTATTTAAGAGGTGCACAGGGCCTTGCTCTGTCACCCAGGCTGGAGTACAGTGGCTCCGTCATGGATCACTGCAGCCTCTAACTGCTAGGCTCAAGCCATCCTCCTGTGTCAGCCTCCCCAGTAGCTAAAACTACAGGTGTGTGCCACAATGCCTGACTAATTTTTCCTTTTCTCTTTTCTAGAGATGGGGCTTGCTGCATTGTCCAGACTGGTCTCAAACACCTGGGTTCAGTTATCCTGCGCGGTCTCTCAAAGTGCTGGGATTACAGGCATGAGCCTCCACACCCAAACACTTGGGGTGGTTTTCAGCCCCCAGTAAGGTGCACCAGCAGGACCAAGAGGTGGCCTGGGCCTCCCCAACACTCTCATCCATGCAGACCTAGGCAAGTTTCTCTCTCTGAATCTCAGGCACCACCACAGACAATGCAAGTAGGAAGCTGGGCAGGGCAGGACTGGGGGTGTAGCAGGCAGAGGCCACCTCTGTCAGGTTGGGGTGGCATGGGCTGGCTAGAGCCTGTCTTCTCACATGTAGGTCATGACCTCCAAGGATCAGCTGTCGGTCATGGTGATGGGCCGCTGGGATTGGCAGAAAGCTTGCTCTCGTTCTCTGAGGCTGGAGCAGTGTGGGGCCAAAGACCATGGCAAGGTTGTGCAGGGACTTTTATTGACTGCCTTTTTCTTACCAACCTGTGCAGGACAGAAGCAGAGGGTGCTGTTTCTATGCCACCACCAGGAAAGAGGCAGAGAGGCTGGGCCATGCTGGAGTCCTCTGGGAGGGAGCAACCTTGACCCTGGCTGTGCTGCAAGCTGATTCCAGCCCTGGTACTTGTGGGTCTCAGAGGTCCAGGATGAGGGGTTAGCTCTGGGCTGGTGGGGAGGTCTCCTTCACCGTCGGGGAGTGAGGGAGTTGGGGGATTCAAGTGCACTGCTGGCCATGGCCAAAGCTCTGAGCTCTTTGTGAAGCCACAGTGCAGAGGGGAGAGCAGGGCAAAGAGGAGAGGCTGGGGTGGGGGTGGCAGTGGTGCTGGTCCCCAGCGGCAGTGAGGGACTGTAGATGGGTTGGGGGAAAAGGTCCTCCGTGCTGGGGTTCTGATGTGAGCAGAGGGGCACCCTGGGGTCTGGGTTTTTGTAGCCCTCCCTGGGCAGCCATGAGAGAGCTGGGCTACATTTTCAGGTGGTCCAGAAGGAAAAGGAAGGTGAGCAGGTTGGCCTCCAGCCAGGACAAGGGCAGGTTAAGCATGGAGTTCTCCTTTGGAGTGGGGTCTGAAATTACCGCAGAAGGCAGTGGGTTACTTCTCATGGTTACAATGAGCTGGAGACCTCTCCCGAGGTGGTGACATGGAGCACCTGGGACATGTGTTTCTGAACAGCCCAGGCTCATCATCATCCTCACTCCCACAGCACTGGGCCCCAAAGAGGATACTGTGAAGGACCCCAGTGTGGGGTATGAGCCACCTGAATCTGTTTTCTCTGCCCCACAGGGGTCAGCAGCACCTGGAGAACAGCAGCAGGAGGTGGCGTGAGAGCAGTGGCTCATGGGTGGAGCTTCCCATGGGAAACTGAGGCTGCCACCCCTTCCTGAGGGCAGCCAAGAGTAGTGGAGGCTCAGCATAAAATGAAAAAGGGGAGTGGGGGATACAAGGAGGTGGGAGGTGGGTGGCCCCAGCCCCACAAACTAAGCAGAGAACCTCTCTTCACCCCAGACTCCACAGGGGCACCTCAGGCTGGTAGACCAGGTCCTCTGGGCATGGGCCCGGGAGGCAGGCCTGCCCTAAGGGTCATGCAGAGGATACAGGGCCACACACACCAGTGCCCTGCTTAGACATCAGCCTCCAGGTTGATGCGGGGTCAGGCCAGGTTTGATCCTGTGCTTGACTGGGCCAGGACCCGTGGCTAGAGCACCTGGGGACTCTCGTTCAGCCCTGGTCTGCTGGAAGGGGGACAGCAGACTTTAGGACCCCACAACACAGCACTGCTGAGCATTTTCCTCTCTTGGTCTCCTTGAGGAATAGGACAAGGAGTCCTCTGGGGACAGATGAGGACTTACACAATGGCCTCGGTTGTGGCCCCTGCTTTCTGAGCTTGGTTAAACACTGACCATGGCAGAAAGGACACAGCTTGGGTTCCCACACCTCACTTTCCACAGTCCTAATGGCAGCAGTGCACATGGAGGAGATGCCTCCTATGATGCCAAGGCCTCCAGTGCTCACCGATGCCCTCATCGATGTTGGGTGGAACTTGTCAGTGAAGAAGGGCTCAGGCAGCTCACGGAAGTAGAGCTTCAGCCTGTCTGCGATGGCATGTATGTCCATCTCACTCATCATCATTGACACATCCCTGTCATCCGGAAAGAACATGGAAATGCTGTGGCCTCCTTGAGGATCCCAAGTGGGTCTCCCGCCATCACTGCCTTGGCTAAAACACCATCCGCTAAAACACCAGGGAGGGACCCGCTGGCCACTGTGCGGGTCCCTCCCTGGCTTTGAGCAGCCCATCTTCCTCCTAAGAGCTGTGCGTGGTTCTGCGTCTGTGTAGAGATGATGGAGGGGTGTGTGCATCCCCATATTTCTCCCCTGCTTGGCCCAATGTGATGTCCAGGAGGAGGCCAGTGCAGCAGGACTCAGAGCCTGCATTGGAATCGGGTGGCTCTGCCCTGTTCGTAGCAACAGCGCTGTACCAGTCTTCGGACAGCAGGAAGGCTGTGGGAGAATCCAATGGGTTTCAGTGTTTGAACCAGTGTCTTCCTTTGGATCCAGTTGGCCACTGGAGCTGACCTCCCCACCACAGGCCAGGTCCATCCTGGGCCTCCAGAGGGAACTGAAACTACTGCATGGCCCACCCAGGGGTGCTGGGCATTCTAGGGTCCTGGTCTGGGTGGTTAGTGTGTGCCCCAAAGAAAGGTCACAGGCACAAAGTCCTGTTGCTTTGAAGTTGCTGGACAAGGACACTCTGGGTTCTCAGTGCCCTCCCCTGGCATTTGGGGCAGGTCCAGGTCCTTAATAATCCATGAGGGGTAGTGAGATGGAGGTGGAGGTGGTGCAGCCTTAGCCTGAGCTGGGTCCCATCAGTGCCCTCTGCCCGCCACATCTTCACACAGGGCAGTGAACAGAACACACTGAGTCCCAGGCTTCCACACCTCATGTCCACCCTTAAGGCAGGAAGTCCAAGGCCCCCCGACAGCCCGGGTCCGCCCAGCAAGTGGCATGGGTGGGTAAGATGGTTCAAGAACTGGCTTCTACAGAAGCTCCTTCTACAACTCTTGTCTTCTCTTTATAAAAAATAATAAAACAGTAAATGACAAAAGACACAGTGAAGAATGTGACGTGACCCGGCCATGGAGTGCTGTGAGATCTCATTGTGGACATTGACGCCCACATCTCCATCACGACACGATCTGGTTGATGACAAAGGCTGCCTTCAGTGCCTGGATGACCGGGGCCACTCCAGACCCGCAGTAGATGCCCACCTCCTTCATGCCACGATGCTTGATCCACTCCACACATTGGTGCAAGAAAAAGGGCACCTTGGCAGGTTGTTCAGTGATTTCATATTTTTGTGTAGTTGCCTATTTATTATAAAGTGCCTGTGTCAGCTTTGCAAAGCCTTCATGTTCATTTATAGTAAAAGTTTTAAAATTCATTTGTTTGTTAAAAATAGATCGAGTGGCATTTTTAAATGCCTGTTTTGAAGCCTAGTAAAAGTATGTCTGAACTAACTTGGAAGTTTCTGTTACAGGCCATAAATATTAAATGACAGAAATGCCATTTTACGGTAGGTTAGTTTTATTTATTTATTTAATTTTTTTGAGATGGAGTCTAACCCTGTCACCAGGCTGGAGTGTAATGGCGCGATCTTGGCTCACTGCAACCTCCGTCTCCTGAGTTCAAGTGATTTCCTCTGCCTCAACCTCCTGAGTAGTTGGGAATACAGGCGCATGCCCTGAAGCCTGGTTAATTTTTTGTATTTTAGTAGAGGTGGAGTTTCGCCCTGTTGACCGGGATGATCTTGATCTCCTGACCTCGTGACCTGCCTGCCACGGCCTCCCAAAGTGCTGGGATTATAGGTGTGAGCCACCGCGCCCGGCCTGGTAGGTTAGTTTTAAAGGTTCCTGACCCGCTTAGTATATAACTTAAAACAATGTATTGGTGTCAGAAATGTGTAATATGGTATTTTTATGGTTAGTTTCACGTTTAATTTGAGAATACTTAACCTTATAAAATCAAACTAGCAAATTACCTTAGTAGACAACACAGTTGGAACACTTTCAATAAGAATTCTTCCTGCAGTTTTATGTAAGAAGGAACTGGTATATTTAAAGCTGCATATAAAATCTGAGTTTTAAGTTTATTATGCTAGCCATCTCTATTAGTTTTCTAGGAGTGCCATATCAAAGTACCACAGACTGGGGGGCATAAACAACAGAAATGTGTTCTCACAGTTCTGGAGGCTGGAAGTTCAAGACCAAGGTGTCAGCAGGGTCGGCTCCTTCTGAGGCTTCTCCTTGGCTTGTAGGTGACCCTTTTCTCCCTGTGTCTTCACATGGCCTTCCCCATATGCATGTCTCTGTCCTGATGTCTTCTTTTAAGGATACCAGTCATACTGGATTAGGGTCATCCATATGACCTCGTTTTATCTTAATTACGTCTTTAAAGCTTTTGTTTCCAAATACAGTCACACCGTGGCCAGGCAAGGTGGCTCATGCCTGTAATCCTAGCAATTTGAGAGGCCAAGTCAAGTGGATCACTTGAGGCCAGGAGTTCAATACCAGGTTGGCCAACATGATGAAACCCTGTGTCTACTAAAAATACAAAAAAATTAGCCGGGGTGGTGGCACATGCTTGAAGCACAGGAATCACTTGAGCCCTAGAGGCAGAGGTTGCAGTGAGTCAAGATCGCACCGTTGCACTCCAGCCTGGGCAACATAGTGAGAGTGAGACTGTGCTGGGAAAAAGAAAAAACCAACTGAAGAAAAACACCAACCAAATATAGTCGTCACACTGTGTAGTACTGGGTTAGGACTTCAGCATATAATCTTGGGCAGATATAGTTTAGTTGAAAACACCATCTTTAAATTGAACCCTTTTTGTAGTTTTCTGTGTGTGTGTGTGCATGCACACGTGTGTGTGTTTAATAGAAATAGAGAAGATTTAGCTCCTTGACCTAGTAATCCTACCATTCACATTCATTTGCTTCCTGGCTGGAAAGACTTTATTTCTTGAAGGGCAAGTGTGAAGTTACATATCCTGGCCAAGCTGAGGCACAGCCTTGAATTTCCTAAGTGATATTTAAAAGATAGGGCAGCAGAGTTGGCTTTCTCTTCTTCAGAGCCAGATTCCGTATCACTCACAGTAGTTCATGTGGTTTTTATAAAATCCCCAAATTCTTAATCTGTTATAGAGCATTTCAGGTATGTAAAATATCTACTTTCTCCATTGTTATTCCCATCCTGAAGTGTGCACAGATTATAATCTGTTCCTTTAAAAAGGAACAGATTTTATATACGAGAGGGAACCATCTGTGGTGGGGGGCTTTATACAGTGAACATCCTGCGAATCATTTTAGTAAAGAAAGCTGTTTATCTTTGTTAAAGACTAGTAATTTCTCAAAGATATTTGGTGATAAACATACAGTACCTACTTATATCTTGTGGAACATGCTTTGGGGAAACTTGCTTCTCTAACCCATAACCAGGAGAATTTTGGTGGTAACTTGCCCCATCTCCAACCTCTTTAGCCCCTTGTACCCATAAATGTTTATTGACCACATATGTGCTGCGCACAGTAATAATTAGAATAGCTACCTAGGAAGAGAAAACACAATAGTAAGTTTTTGCTTTACTCCACAGAATAATAACTATGTCTTACACTAACAGTTAAGTTACCTAATGTGATCTGGTTACCTAATGAAAGAAAGCGTTGATCCCAACAACTGTTACAGTATAAAGAGCGATTTCTCCTTTTTCTTTGGATCTTTGCAGGGCTTTTCACCCATGCATGTGCTCTTCAGTGAAGGGCCCTCTGCACCTCATTCAGCCTCTGCTGGGTTTGTGCATCCAGTGTATGGATTCCTTCTCTGTCCCATTTTCAGAGAACCACCATGAGCACGTAGGTGTTCATGAAATCTGCACTAATACAGGAGCCATGTAGCCAAGTGAAGCTAGTACAGTTTAAAGTTAAATAAAACTACCAGTTCAGTTTCCCACTTGCCCTGGCTACATTTCAGGTGCTTAGAGCAGAAAGTTCAGTTGAACAGCGCTCCTGTAGATGGTGAAAACTTTATTCTTTGAAGTTTACTCCTCTGTGTCTGTATTGGATAGCCAAGTTCTGGATGCCAAGGAGGGACATTATTGGCCACTTTTAACCTAGTCTTTGAGATTTAGTTCTAAAAGAGCATATTTTTCTTCACTTTTCTTTTAATAGGTGGCTGCACTGTTTGGACCTGGAGCCCCCTTAACTTTTTCCATAGAGTTTCCATCTTTACCTGAGAAATACCTGCTTAATTGAGGGATTTAGTTAAAACTAGCAGCTCTCTTCAAGGTTTTGGTCCTATCTCCAAGCTTAATCTTCACACCCCAACTCAAAAGTAATAGGAGTTGGAGGTAGACCACACCCCCTGCCTCCCTCCCCCACCTCCAGTTCAGGTCATTTCATTCCATCAGATGAGCTTGTGTAGAGAAGAGCTGTGCTTCTTTCCTAGAGGGACATTCCACTTAGATTAGATTGATTATGTTTAACTTGGCAATGTTTAATATAGCCTTTCCTTTACACCTGTACTGCATAATAATTTTGTTCTATTATACTAAAGATACTCTAAAAAACTATGAGTTTCTCCCCACGTCCATCCACCCCAACACCTGCACACACGAACACAGTCCATAACGATGATTGTCTCTTGCTAATCTTGCAAGTTCCTGAGAACAGATTGGCTCCCCAGAACTGTAAGGGAAAGATCATGGTCAGATTATGGGAGTGGGAATTGAGGCAATAATGGGAAAGAAAAAAGAGAGACAGAAAGTCTTCCTGATGCTAAGAAGTCTTATGACAAAACAGATATACAAAAAGGGAGGCAGAAAGCCTTTCCTAAAAGCAAATAGCTGTGCAAAGTGTCTGTCTACCTTTGACCAACCAAGTACGTGATTTGTCGGTTCCCTTGTGTTTCTCCTCCCCATTTTGGAAAACACTTAGGTTTCACTTAAAATGTTACCTTTTGGTGAATGGTACTTCTCTGGAAGATTTTGTTTGTTTGTTAACTCAGGGTCTTTGGTATTTACTTGGCCTTTGTTCTGGCTTGGATTTAAAAATGGCGCAAATGTGAACCAGCACCCTTAACACCTTTTCATCTCACTTCCATTAAGGAATAACGTATGGGTTTAAACTTGTGTGACACACATTGACGACTTCGTAACCTTGTGTTATATACTGGTTCCAGAGATTTTCCTGGCAAAACTTGGACTAGATAGTTGTTCTGCTACTGAAGACCACTAAGACGGATAGGAGTTAGAAATAACAATAACAATGAACAGAAGTTAGCAGACTTCACTCTGAGTTCTCTTTTTTAAAGATAGGGTCTTGCTCTGTCACCCAGGCGGGAATGAAATGGCAGGTTGATAGCTCACTGCAGCCTCGAACTCTTGGGCTCAAGGGATCCTTCTGACTCAGCCGGCCATGTAGCTGGGACTACAGGAGTGTACCACCACACCCGGCTAATTCTTTTTTCTTTTTTATAGGACAGGGTCTCCCTTAGTTGCCCAGGCTGTCTTCAAACTCACACTGCTGGCCTCCAGCAGTCATCCTGCCTTGGCCTCCCAGAGTATTGGGATTGCAGGTGTGACCACTGCACCCAGCCTGAGTTCTCTTTTGACAATTTCTTATAGAAGAACAGAAACACAACACTGTCTTTTCCTCATTGATGCAAAATTTTTACTTGATGGTGTGGAACCATTTTAATAATAAGCATTATAGTTTCCTTAGGTTACTCCAAACCTCTTTCCCAGATTTGTATACCTTTTTAAAGCATTTAGGGCAAATTAAAGAAAACCAAGACTCCAACTTAAAGCAACAGAGTTTATCAGTATCCTTCGGGTGGGGCTCAAACCTTACGTCTTGCAGAATAGGACACAGGGACTGCTACCTGCTGGCCCAGCTGTAGGAGGGTTAATATCTCTTCAGAGAGAACCACCAGTTGGTTTGCTTGGGATCCTTCATCCGCAGGTCAGTGGTACTACTTTTGTTCAGTATGATAGCATGTAATATTGTTGGATTTGGGCCCATTCTTTGAATTCTTCTTCTGTTTTTCACTGAAAAAATGCAGCTGAAACCATTGTGAAATTTGGTGATGACCGAAATCATGATAGAGTCCCTTACATTCTGTGAGTCAGCTAGTGTATCTGTAAGTCACACTCTAGACTTGTTTAAATGATGGTTGATTTCTTAGTTGATTTTGTAAATAAGATAGATATTTTGATATTATTCACTAATAAGGAAAGTGACATTTTTGATAATTTGAGTTACACATATTTTAAAAGTCTCTGATTCATCTATATGTGGAGTCCAAATTGAGGAGTAGATTCTAGAAATACTCCTATTAGAATGATTTTGCACCAAAAAAATTCTTCAGCCTATGGATGCTTCCGTTATGTTACCTAAAGACTTTAGAAATTATTTTAAATTAGTTGTTTTGTGTGTAAATGGTGGGTATTTTGTATTAATACCGTTGTTATTAGTAGCTTATTCTGCATACTTAAAGAACTATATATATTCCCTTTCCTAGGAGTTGGACGTTCAATGGAATCTAAGTTGGCATCTTTGGGAATTAAAACGTGTGGAGACTTGCAGTATATGATCATGGCAAAACTCCAGAAAGAATTTGGTCCCAAAACAGGTCAGATGCTTTATAGATTCTGCCATGGCTTGGATGATAGACCAGTTCGAACTGAGAAGGAGAGAAAATCTGTTTCAGCTGAGATCAACTATGGAATCCGGTTTACTCAGGTACTGATCATTGAACAGATTTTACCATCTGTTGTTCTTTATATTTTTACACAGTCCTACCTCTCTAATGAAACCATAAGACTCTTGATGCTTGAAATTAAGTCTTAAAACTGTGTATTCCCAGAGCCTCAGAAGGTGTTTTAAGGCAGTGTGTGGTAAGATATAGCCTAAGATAGGATTGAGACTGAGGAAACCTAGCTTTTGGGGAAATATACTAAAAGATTATGCTTTAGGGGCCAGTTCTTAGAGAACTTCAGATTATAATTATTCTCATTTACAGTGAAAAAAAAATGAGAAAAACATTTTTAATGTTGAAATGCTTTATAAGCTGTAGTTAAAATTAAGTTTCAGTGAACCCCTCCTTTTGCATGCTTTTGGAAAGCTGCAGCACAGATGGCTGAGTAGTTTCCATTTTCCTTCAGATTATGGATTTGGAAGTGTCTTGAATTTGTATGTACAAATGACACCATATCATAAGGATTTGAAATGTGATGAGTTAATTATACTCTCGTGCCTACACTGTGGACCTCAGGAGTTTGTTTCCTTGGGCATGGATATAGAGAATGGTTGGGCTATAAGCACAGTGTTGGAACACATATTTTATTAGCATAGCTTATTACCATAATTACAAAATAATTTCAATAAGTCATTGATGGCATAGAAAAGAAAGAAAGGAAAAATATCTTTTAAAGTACTCATTACTTTTACTTTGTTAAGAAGGTGGGTATTTTTATTTAATAGTTGAGGGTATTCCAAACATTGTTTTCCTCTCCTCCTCCTCCTCCTCCTCCTTCTTCTTCTCTTCTTCTTCTTCTTCCTCTTCCTCTTCCTCTTCTTCTTGTTTTTGTGATATGGAGTCTCCCTCTGTCGCCCAGTCTGGAGTGCAGTGGTGCAATCTCAGCTTACTGCAACCTCTTCTGGGTTTCAGCAATTCTTCTACCTCCCTAGTAGCTGGGATTACAGGTGCCTGCCTCTACGCCCAGCTAGTTTTTGCATTTTTAGTAGAGACAGGGTTTCACCACATGGGCCAGGCTGGTCTCAAACTCCAGATCTCAGGCAATTCACCCACCTCTGCCTCTCAAAGTGTTGGGATTACAGGCTTGAGCCACCATGCCTAGTCACTTTGTTTTTTTTTTTTTTTTTTTGAGACGGAGTTTCACTCTGTCACCAGGCTGGAGTACAGTGGCACTGTCTCGGCTCACTGCAACCTCTGCCTCCTGGATTCAAGTGATTCTCCTGCCTCAGCTTCTCGAATAGCTGGGACTACAGGTGTTCCCTACCACATCCAGGTAATTTTTATATTTTTGTAGAGATGGGGTTTCACCATGTTGGTCAGAATGGTCTCGATCTCCTGACCACCATGGCCTCCCAAAGGGCTGGAATTACAGGCGTGAGCCACTGTGGCCAGCCCACATTTCTTTTTAATAGATGCTGAGCATGATAGTGAGTGACCAACATGTTTAATACTCAAAGTTAAAATGCTTACAAACAATTATTAGGTACATAGGAAAGTGGAATGGAAGTTTCTTCATGTTTGCCTTTCTATAGCCAAAAGAGGCAGCTTTTCTTCTGAGTCTTTCAGAAGAAATTCAAAGAAGACTAGAAGCCACTGGCATGAAGGGTACATGTCTAACTCTCAAAATCGTGGTACAAAAGCCTGGGGCTCCTGTAGAAACTGCAAAATTTGGAGGCCATGGAATTTGTGATAACATTGCCAGGTAAGCTCATCTCAAAAATGATATTGGTAATTATATTTCAGTACAGGTTGTTATAAGTAATAGAAAATGAAGGAAACCAAGGAGGAGTTTGAATAAAGAGCTGTAAACCCATGTTACCTGGCGTTCTGTAGAAGCAGGCATCAGTCCAAGGCATTCAACTTAGGTTAACGCACTTGGTTTCAGCCAGGTCTACCCCCATGGAGGTTGGTTTGACAGCATTCCTGACCTTGGCAGCTCTTGCTTGGGATCTTCAGACTGTTAACTTTACTGCATGGACAGAAAGGGCAAGGCTGCAGACCAAAGGGACTGCTATAGTTTTTGGACTTGGTGAAACTTTATTCCTTAGGGAAATTTCAGTGTAGTTCTTAAAAATAATGATATGGGCCAAGTATGGTGGCTCATGCCATAATCCCAGCACTTTGGGAGGCCAAGGCGGGTGGACCACTTGAAGCCAGCAGTTCAAGATCAGCGTAGCCAACATGACAAAACCCCATCTCCAGTAAAAATACAGAAATTAGACGAGGATGGTGGTGCTTGCCTGTAGTCCCAGGTACTTAGGAGGCTGAGGTAGGAGAATTGATTGAACCTGGGAGGCAGAGGTTGCAGTGAGCCGAGATCACACCAGTTCACTTCAGCCTGGGTGACAGAGCAAGATTCTGTCTCAAAATAACAATGATGATACACAAAGACAGACTATAGTAGCTATAAAAATGATGGTGAAGGAGAGAAACTTCATTTTACATAGGTGTATAGATTTAATTGGTGAAAATGAGTGAATCACTGTAATGTCTGAAAACTGGCAAAAGCACTTAAAAACCCTATTTTTTTTTTTTTTTTGAGATGGAGTCAGGCTCTGTCGCCAAGGCTGGAGGGCAGTGTTGTGATCTCAGCTCACTGCAAACCTCTGTCTCTTGGATTCAAGCGATCCTCCTGTCTCAGCCTCCCAGGTAGCTGGGACTACAGGTGTATGCCGGCACACCCAGCTAATTTTTGTATTTTCAGTAGAGATGGGGTTTCACTATGTTGGCAAGGCTGGTCTTGAACTCCTGACTTCAAATGATCCATCCACCTCAGCCTCCCACAGTGTTGGAATTACAGGCATGAGCCACAGTGGCCTCTGACATTTTGATTTTTTATGTCAAGGCCAGCCGCTTAATATTAAACTTCATGTAAGATTTGTGACCACTATGAAGATCCTTGGTTTTACATGTCATTTTACCTGTCAAACCAAAACCGTGTTTTATCTGTTAAACCAAAATTTGAGACTTTTGACACAGAAAGCTACTTATAAGGAACTATAAAGTATAGTTTTGTTGACGTTTAACTCAAGCCAACCGTCCACAGTACATTCGTGTATATGATGATACTGCCAGACTATGAGGTGACTGCTCTTAACCAGAGAAACTCCAAGTTCACCATAAATGCGTTTGTTCACCATGAAAGCAGGAATTACAAGTTACGATTAAACAGCATAATGTATAAAATACATTTTTATCAGTTGCTTATCTTGAATTTTTATATTTACCTACCCACGTGTTACACATGTATCTCAAATAGTAAGTAGTATTGTCATGTATTTATTTACTTTAAAAATGTATTTTTGTAGAAACAGGATCTCGCTCTGAGGCCCAAGCTGGTCTTGAACAATCCTTTTGCCTTGGCCTCCCAATGTTTTGGGATTACAGGTGTGAGCCACTGTGCCCAGCCTTTAGGGGTTATTTCTATAAGTTGACTAAGTAATACGATTATCTTTTTAAATAGTCTCTAAGTGAAAATCAGCTTCAATTTATAATATTTTTTTCTGGGAATATTTCCTGTTTAAAGGTCTGGAACTTTATTTGTTCATTATACATGGAAAGGACCATCCAAAACATAAAATAACTTTCCTTTGGAAAGAGAACTGGTAGTAATTTATTAATCTATTACTGTGTTAGAAATTCTATTTGCCATGAGACACTGCTCATGCCAGAGAAGCTCAGAAGGCTTTGATGAAATGGTGGGTGAGGTCAGCACATCTTTGGGACCTAATAGAGCTGATGAATCATTTGGTCCTCCTTCAAGAGTTCTTAAAGATCTAAGAATTGTATATTGGTTTTTCTCTATAAACACAGTGAAAGGAGAGTCAAGAACCAAAATACAGAGAATATTTGCTGTACCTCAGCATATATTATTTGTACATAATCTTAGAACCTAAAACTTCTCTTGGAATCAAGAACATTGTGTTTACCATTCATTTGTGCTTTGGTTGAAAAATGGTATTTATTTATGTGTTAACTAACATTTATGTTTTTCTAAATTTCTCAACTTTATTTCCCGTTGACCCACGTGTCCATTATCGTTTTTACCTTAAAATTCCAGTGCTGCATAATTTTTGTTTTCCCCCTTTGTTGCAACTAGTATTTTTGGCTTCCTTGAAGGGAGATTATGGCATTCACTTTTATAACCTTCGTTGTAACTGTTTACAACTTTTCTATAACTCTTTAAACAGTTCCATACTACTGAAGTACTAGTGAATATACATGGAATGAAGCTTTTGTTTTTTAATTCTAACACTTACAGGACTGTAACTCTTGACCAGGCAACAGATAATGGAAAAATAATTGGAAAGGCGATGCTAAACATGTTTCATACAATGAAATTAAATATATCGGATATGAGAGGAATAAGTGTTTGATAAAATTGTAAATTCTGACTTTCTGTAATGTTTCTCTCATTTGAGGCTTGCCCTCAGAATGGCTATTGCTGGCGTGTAGAGACTTTATATGTAGATCTTTAGCTGCTTTGTGATACAAGAAAAAGAAACAAAAATTCTTCACTTTCTTCGATTTGATCTCCTTCATTTTCAAATAATTTTCTTAGATTCTTATTGTACTTTCCAAGTTACCCCTAATTAACCAGGGGCTAATATACATGTTCCCCCGTTCTTGTTTTCTAGAAGTGAATATAACTGTTAGGAGTATGAATACATAAATTTTGTACCTTTAAGTCCTTTTTAATCAGACACATACTCTGCTGTATGAAGACCTAGAAGGAAGTGAAACCACAGGCACATCAAGATGCCTTTGAAACAGGCAAGAGGCATCAAAATGTCAAAATGTTTTTTTTGAAATGGAGTGTTTGCTCTGTTGCCCAGGCTGGAGTGCAGTAACGCGTTCTCAGTTCACTGCAACTTCTGCCTCCTGGGTTCAAGCAGTTCTCCTGCCTCAGCTTCCCAAGTAGCTGGGATTACAGGTGCCCACCACCATACCCAGCTAATTTTTTTATTTTTAGTAGAGACAGGGTTTCATCATGTTGGCCAGGCTGGTCTCGAACTTCCTGACCTCAGGTGATCCACCTGCCTCTGCCTCCCAAAGTGTTGGGATTACAGGTGAGAGCCACTGTAACTGGCCCCCATCCCTACTGAAAATACAAAAATTAGCCAGGTGTGGTGGTGCATGCCTGTAGTCCCAGCTACTCGGGAGGCTGAGGCATAAGAATCACTTGAACCTGAGAGGCAGAGGTTGCATGAGTCACTCCAGCCTGGGTGACACAGTGAGGCTATCTCAAAATAAAAAAATCTTTAGAGCTTTAGTTTTATGGGTGCATGTGTAAGTAAGGGTTGTTTTGGCTTGATGTGGGCTTTGTGGAAGTATTAGTCGCTAAGCCAGCCATAAGTGAAATTTCTCCCTGAAATACTGTTACAATGGCACTTTATGGAGGGATCTGTGGAGTATGTACTGTTCTTCACTCCCACCGATATTTTTTGAGAAGCACTTCATTTTAAAAAGATAAAAATAGTGAGGTTTTCAAGTAGACTGTCCTCAAAATTTTTTTTATCCTAATTTAAAACCTCAGTTGACTAGAACATCAGTGGAATACTGTATTCCACTTGTTTGGATTTTCTGATTTTAAAGACCTTTTGGTGTATTTTGGGAGAACTGGATACTTTCAAGATTGAGATGAAAATCTAGAAATTGTTTTTTTAATAAGTCATATATAAGACTGAATACTTTGATTTACCTTTATTCTATAAACAGGATCTAGGAGATAGTGAAAAGGATTTGCTGAGGATTTTGCTTTGTTGAATTCATATTTTCACTTTAGTTTTCCTAGAAGCACTCTTTTTTCTGGGTTCTAGGTTGGGATTCACGTTAATCAGTTGGTTCCAGCTGATCCGAACACTTCCACATGTCCCAGTCGCCCATCGATTCAGTCAAGCCACTTTCCTCGTGGGTCACACTCTGTCCGTGATATCTTCCAAGTTCAGAAAGCTATGAAATCCACAGAAGAGGAGCACAAAGAAGGTTGGTGGTCATCAGTGTGGTTCTTGTTTAAGTGCTGCTTATGTCCTTGGAAAGGTGGCAGTTGGTTTTAAAATTGACACAGCTTTATGTGATTTTAAAAATATTTATATTCTTCATTATGATGAATCAATAATAAAGTTATTTTATTTGCAATAGACAGAGGAAATCAGGGATTAAAGGCCCTGCCCGGTGATCTGAAGAGGGTATTTTCTGTATTTTCTCTTTGTAGTATTTCTGGCTGCTGTGGATCTGGAAATATCATCTGCTTCTAGAACTTGCACTTTCTTGCCACATTTTCCTGCACATCTGCCGACCAGTATCAGTCCTGATACTAACAAGACTGAGTCTTCAGGGAAATGGAATGGTCTGCATTCTCCTGTCAGTGTGCAGTCAAGACTTAACCTTAGTATAGAGGTCCCGTCACCTTCCCAGGTACACTTTTATGGTCCTAAATATAAGTACAAAAGTCGTTTACAAATGAAAATGGTATTTTTATTTCTTCATCCTAAGAAAGGGAGAAAGGGCCACTTGTTAGGGTAAGTTATGATGTTGATTCTAAGTAAGCAAAAATTGGGTTGAGTGAAAGTGCTTTTGCAAAGATTTGCAGCTCTTGCAAGGTATAAAGCATGGTTGAAAGGCAGGCCTCCTGGGAACTGCCATTGTCTGTGACAGTGGTCATTGTGTAGACTTACTGTATTCAGCAAGGCAGCTTTAGTGATTAGTGGGGAAGTAGAGGCCTTACTTCAAAGCTTTTTTTTTTTTGCAGTATTTGCAAACAGGTTTCTGGGATGGTATTTAATTCAGCTTGTATGGGCTGTACATGTGTACTGCTGGCATGGCTGTACTGCTGGCGTGGTAGCACCTTAAGCCATATTGGGAAGTTTATTTGTGCCCCTGCTGCCCCTCCATGGAAGGAGGTCGAAGGAGATGTTAAATACTGGCTGTAAAACTAGGGGATGGATCCCAGCACTTTGGGAGGCCAAGGCGGGTGGATCACGAAGTCAAGATATCGAGACCATCCTGGTCAACATGGTGAAACCCCGTCTCTACTAAAAATACAAAAAATTAGCTGGGCACGGTGGCGCGTGCCTGTAATCCCAGCTACTCAGGAGGCTAAGGCAGGAGAATTGCCTGAACCCAGGAGGCGGAGGTTGCGGTGAGCCAAGATCGCGCCATTGCACTCCAGGCTGGGTAACAAGAGCAAAACTCCGCCTCAAAAAAAACCAAAAAACAAAAAAAAAACAACTAGGGGATGGGACAATTCTGATATGCATGTTGTATTGGTTCCAAGGTTGACCCTGGGCTTTAAAAATCCACGGACAGGGGGGAAAAGGGGAGGGCCAGTGGGAGGGGGAGGTGGGGAGGGATAGCCTGGGGAGAAATGCCAAATGTGGGTGAAGGGGAGAAGAAAAGCAAAGCACACTGCCATGTGTGTACCTACGCAACTGTCTTGCATGCTCTGCTCATGTACCCCAAAACCTATAATCCAATAAAAAATTTAAAAAAAAAAATAAATAAATAAATAAAAATAAAAAAAAAATAAAAATCCACGGACAACAGGAAGGAAGCTTATTAACCCCTCTCCTCCCCCTCCCTATTCCTCTTCCCGGTGGAGAATCAGCTCCTCCTCCTCCCAGTTGGTCGTGCGGCCCTGGTGCAAAATGCAAACAACCGCCCGCATTCCCCACCCTGCGCGGCTCTCTCGAAGAAGCGAGAGAGAAGAGGCGAGGGCGCTGCCCCAAGCGGAGTCCAGCAAGTCTGTCAATCGGGCGTGAACGTCCCGACGAGACGACTTGGACCTCAACTCCCTCGCACCAGCCGGACACCGCAGGGACCCCCTTTACCTGCCTCTCTGCTGAGTTTGCATCCGGCACCCCAACTCCTAGCCTAATTTCCCCCCAGCCGCATAATATCGCGGGCCCCTGCTCCCCGTGCAGGTGGTGCAAACGCCCCTGCTCTCCGGCGCCCCCTGCCGGGAAGAGGGAAGGCGGCGGCGGCCGCGGACGAGCCGGAAGTGGGGGCCGGGACAGAGCTCGGGCGCTGGGAAGAAGCCGGGAGCTTCCCTGATGGTGCCGCCCCCTCCGAGCCGCCAGTCGCCCACGGGCCAGCTGGGCAGGAGCCTGGGTCCGCTGCTGCTGCTCCTGGCGCCGGGACACACGCGGACCTACAGAGAGGAGCCTGAGGACGGCGACAGAGAGATCTGCTCAGAGAACAAAATCGCGACGACTAAATACCCGTGTCTGAAGCCGTCAGGCGAGCTCGCCACACGCTACAGTGCGGCGTTTCTTTCCTTTGGACAGAAGACACTGGCAGCACCTTGGCATGTGTTTTCACTAACAGCTACTCCAAGAAACTGTGATATCTAGCAAAAACGATGTTTTTATATCACGGAGAATAAAGAACTTTGTTTAAAGGAAAAAAAAAAAAAAAAACAAACCAGATGACTGATACCCGCAGTTGTTCCTGGCAAGATAAGATTGGCCTACCCAGCTGATGGGATTGCATGTTTCCAAAGGGCCGAACGTGCATGGACAGGTGGAGGGAGGTCCTGGCCAACGGACAGTGGATTCTGAACTGCAAGTTAGAGAAAAGTCAGCTTCTAGAACCCTTTCTTCTAGCGAGCCACTCTCAGAGTGCAATTGTTTGTATGGGGGGGGTCTCATCTGAAAAGTGAACTTTTGACCCAGGATTGTTACCTGTCCAGACTTTTAACATGTGCCTCAGGCCTTCCCCCCTCCTCAGGGTGGGATTTGGTTTGAGCTTCATCAAGGCTATTCATTTCTGTTGGCTCCAATTGCAGGTCATTCCCTGAGTATATTTGGCCTTACCTGGTCACGTGGTAGTGGCCGGTAGTGTATACACTTCTCTCCAGACTATGCATGTTACTTCAGGCTTCAGTGACAAAAGGCCAAGACATTCCAAAAATGTGCTTATTTGGGGGTGCCTTTTGTAGCTTGATGGTCTGTACCTTACATTGGTTATCCAGTGCTCAAATTGAAATTTAAAGTGGCATGTCAACTCCCCAACACCTCCTCTCTGAGCGTGCTTTAACTTCAGACTCTGTGTTCGGCATTTTATAGCTGGATCAGTCTGTTCTAGAAGCACTTCCACCTGATCTCCCACCTGATCTCCGGGAACAAGTAGAGCAAGTCTGTGCTGTTCAGCAAGCAGAATCACGTGGCGACAAAAAGAAACAACCAGTAAATGGCTGTAATTCAGGAATTTTGCCACAACCAGTTGGGACAGTCTTGTTGCAAATACCAGAACCTCAAGAATCGAACAGTGACACAGGAATAAATGTAATAGCCCTTCCAGCATTTTCACAGGTAAGTTAAATAGGGGGATCCTCTGCTGTAGTTTCAATAGTCTCACCCGCTGCTCCAGTTCAGGCCCTGTGTCACTTGCCTTTCTCCTCTGTATCTTACACCTCTTCTGCTGGGGAGAGGAGGAGAGGGTGGGCTTGTCTCCATCTCCTGCATCTGCAGCTTCCTGCTGAAGCAGCAGAGGGAAGACATGGGGGAAGGCATGGTAAGACAGAAACACATGGATCTGGCCCAAACATATCAGTGGCCACACTTGCATACAACACAGTGGAGATGTATAATCCTACACGGGGGACAGTAACAGCCTGAGTTTCTGTTTTAATGTTTTGCTTCCCATTTTCTACTAGTGCATTTTACCCTGGTGGTTCTGCTGTTGTAGTGGGTTTTCTTAAGTTAGTATTCTTAATTCCTTATTCTTGCTCTAACCATTTTGAAGATTTAACCAGCTTTGATCATTGGGGACCTGTTAAGAATTCATAAAGGTCAGAAAAGTATTATTTGAAAAGAAAATCTATTTTGTGAAAAACATAAACCAGTTACCATCTAGAATTAGCTCAGGTTTGACTTTGACCTTGTCTTTTCCACTGGGTGGACCCTGAGGTATTTGCTGCCCTTCCTGCTGAACTTCAAAGGGAGCTGAAAGCAGCATATGATCAAAGACAAAGGCAGAGCGAGAACAGCACTCACCAGCAGCCAGCACATCTGGTGAGCCTTGGAAGCGGCATGTAACAAAAATGAAAATAAAGAGTAATGGAGTCACTCTGGTGTGTAATTACTGGCAGTATATAATGTTCAAGGTCTTTCTTACATGTGATTAAAATAGCATAGGAGGTGGGCTAGGTTCAGTGGCTCACATGTCGGGAGGCTGAAGTGGGTAGATCATTTGAGACCAGACTGGCCAAAATGGCATAATCCAATCTCTACTAAAAATATAAAAAATAAATAATATGGACATGGTGGCATGTGTGGTCCCAGTTGGGAGGTGGGGGCTGCAGTGAGCCATGGTTGCACTACCGCATTCTAGCCTGGTTGATAGAGACCTTGTCTCAAAAAAAGAAAATTGTTTTTTGGGTGTTTTGGGATTTTTTTTTTTTTTTTTTTTTGGAGACAAGAGTCTCACTCTGTCACCAGGCTGGAGTGGCTCACTGCAGCCTCTGCCTCCTGGGTTCCAGCAATTCTCCTGCCTCAACCTTCTGGGTAGCTGGGATTACAGGCGTGTCACCATGCCCAGCTCATTTCTGTATTTTTTTGTAGAGATGGGATTTCACTATGTTGACCAGGTTGGTCTTGAACTTCCAACCTCAGCTTATCTGCCCGCCTTGGCCTCCCAAATTGTTGGGATTACAGGCATGAGCCACTGCACCCGGCCAGGATTTTTTTGTTTGTTTGTTGGCCAAAGTCAATTTTTATATGTAAAAAGGAATAGTCTTTAAGGACCTTTCCTAATGATGTTTCTTTTCTCCCCACCTTTAGGTTGATGCAGCAATCGGTGGAATCGGTTTGGAATATGGCATTTGACTTTATTCTTGACAATGTTCAGGTGGTTTTACAACAGACTTATGGAAGCACATTAAAAGTTACATAAATATACCCAGAGAGCCTGATGCTCTCCGATAGCTGTGCCATAAGTGCTTGTGAGGTATTTGCAAAGTGCATGATAGTAATGCTCGGAGTTTTTATAATTTTAAATTTATTTTAAAGCAACTGTTTTGTATATTTCTTTCCAAAAAGTGCCAAATTTGTCAGTATTGCATGTAAATAGTTCTGTTAATTCTTTTACTGTAGCATAGATTCTATTTACAAAATGTTTGTTTATAAAGTTTTATGGATTTTTACAGTGAAGTGTTTACAGTTGTTTAATAAAGAACTGTATGTATATTTTGTACAGGCTCCTTTTTGTGAATCCTTAAAAACTCAACTCTAGGAAGCAACTACTGTTTATTATCCTAAAAGGCTGAAAAACCTCCAGGTCAGACTGCTAAGCTCTGAAATTCCTGAGAGGTCTCAGACCGGGATTCTACTTGTTCCAAGAAAGGGTAAAGCTTCTAAACCATCTTATTCTTGTCTCCAAGCACGAACACAGGAGCATGTTAAGAAAATCTTTACTTCTTCCATGCGGAGAAATCTACATATTTTGAATTAGAAACACCCTCACACCCACTTGAAGATTTTTTCCTGGGAACATTATTGTCCCACAGATCAGAGGTGGTATTGTCTTTGCCTCTACTGGCCATTGAGAAACTTTGATGATAAAAAGGAACGGTATAGATTTTCAAGCGTATATAAAGTATTTTTATGCTATATGTTTTGCCGTGACTTTAAAATAAAAAAATAGTTTAAAAGTCTATGCTAGTGGGTATTTGGAACTTTTTCCTCAGACACCCCACACTGACTTCAAAACAGCCACAAAACTAGCTAAAGATTACTACATGAATGAATCATTAAGGGTTGCCTGCTACAATTTAGAAGCACTAAGCCCAAATATCAGGAAATGTATGCATGGTGGAATTTTCTAGGACAAAACATACCGAGATTAATGTATAAAAATCTCTACTGTTACCAGGTGCTGGCATTCAAGGTAGTGTGACAGTTGTTGATAAGATGATTCTTGTCCTAGGAGGACAACTTTTGGGAGAGAAGCTACACTAACATGGAAGCCTAACAGAGCTTACTGGTCGATGTCTCTTTTCTTTATTGGTAGTTTGGTTTGAATTGGGATGATTACAATGGACTCACGACTACACAAGCAGTAAAAAGCAGCCAGCTGTGCTTTTACACCATGGTTTCACACGAAGCAGATAAATGTCAGAATACCTTATTTTCTATTTTATAAAAGCCCTAAAGGCATATGGCAGAAGACTGCTGGGAAGAATATGCATAAATAAAGAAGTATTTCTGACATCAAAAAAGTCCCAAGAATCACAAAATCTGCGGAAGCTTGGTTAATCAAATACTGCAGTACTGATTTAATCAGTATAAAATTGAAAGAGCTTTAGATCTGTAATAAAAATCCAAATTTGGGGAAGGGCAAACTTTAAAACAGCAGCCAAGTAGAGAAGGGTTGGGGAAAGGAGGGGTGAGTGAACAGGCACATTGGAACTGTGGGGACATGTAACTGACCACTGTCAAACCAGTGTAAGTTTCTTGGTTTCTCATGGAAAACATTTTATACACCTATTTTTCTTCCTTCCATATTTAAGTCCATTAGTGTCCAGGTACATCTCTTCCATTTTTTGCCTTGTTTTGTTGGGATGTTACAACACAGTATTGCATTTACTCCAGTTCCCGTTCCACGTGGAAAAATTAGATGATTTCAAATACTTTCTTCAGCTCCACAATAAGCTGCCAGTCACTCTTCTGCATTTCATCTCTGAACCAGTCTTTGAGTGCATCAATGGACTGCCGGCTGATCTGCAATGCCCGAGGCACAAACAGGGTAAACACAAACAGGTAAAAAAAAATCTGTGGCCCCAGATGCCTGCTGTCACTGTAATCAAGCTTAAGCAGAAATAAAAACAGGGCTTGCCTGCCTAGGGGACTAGAATTCCAAAATCACCTCTAGTTGGCATGTCGGGCACAAGGGGACCTAAAAGTCCTAGCTGCTTCTCTGTTGGTGCTGCTTTCCTGATGGGGCAACTTCCTCATCAGACAAGGCCCAGCTAGAGATCAAGCCCTAATGGGGATCCAGCCCATCAGATTCTACAATCAACCTGAAGCCCAAGGAGCTTCTGCCATGTTTGCTGAAATACTTACCTTACTGACAAGAATGTCTGTAGCTTCAAAATGTCTTCCAAACATTTTGGGCGAATCACCAGGGATAGGTTCTATTTTTACACAGACTTCTTGTCCTTTTTTGGCAACATCCACTTGTTTATGGTTTATTTCAATACTTGCTACTATTCCGATGTCAACAAACTGTAAAATAAGAACAAATTACAGGGGCATGCAGGAGAATTCATGCCCATCACAGGATCCATGACTGGATAGCTGAAGTAAGAACTGGAGCACAAGAGACTGTTTTCAAAGTCATGGCAGTGCGATCCTTCACTCATCACTTAAAGTCTCACAGTGTAGCATTCTCATCTGGTAAATTAGGCTTGCACCACCACACAGCCTATTCCCTTGACATGTTGTAAGAGTGACAGGAGATAATGCGCTCTGCAAAACATTACAAGTGCCCTGTTGACCCAATGTCATTTTCTATTTTTGTTGTACTGTTTTAAGTGACAGGTGCCCTAACAGGAGGGATCAACAGGGACAGAGGGTCTGAGTCAGGAATGAGCTTGAGGTGACTGGTGGGAATGAAGTCATATTGAGGACCTCATCCTGAAATTAAAGAATGATGGCCTGTGAGCAGATGACTGATGTGATCTCAGAGCTTTGGGGAAAAAACCCTGACTACCTTGTGGAGAAAAACATTCAAGAGACTAAGAGGGAAAACAGAGCTTTGGTTTAGGAGGCCAAAGCCACATAGAAAATAATTACCACAAATAAATGTCCTGGATTAGTCCACTGAAATGGTAGAGAAGCTATGACAACTTCTAAGTGCCACTGCCCATTACAGGAACCAGTTTGGGGCAGGGAAAGTACTAGGTGAGGCTGAAACATTTCACTGCACCAGAAAGAAAGAAGATGCTCCAGCGTGTTGTGTGTCAAGGATACAGGGGGTACAGGAACCAGTTTAAAACCTCTGACCACACTGGATAATCTGAGTATCAAAAGAATAAAGGTAATGAATTACAACACATCAAAAAAACCGCTGAGTCTATGGGATAACTCGATAAAAAAGTCAGTGGGAAGAGAGGTTGTTTCTAAGAGATGGGGGGGATGGGTTACCCACAATTTTCTAACTGTCTATTTGATAGCTGACTTAAGCAAGGCTTGCCAATGGGTACTAGAACCACTGCAATAAAGGCTGTCAAGAAACAGGATGTCCATGAGGAACTCTAGGTACCAGACAGATTACGGAGTAATTACCAAGGGGCAAGTTTCTAATGGAGATGGTTGGCAGCGAGCACTTTCCCCAAGGAATCAGAGCATCGGCAGCAGTGACGCAGCCTGGGTCATGCAAGAGGCAGGCACCTGTATGGGTGTCTTTCCAATAATTCTAACCTGTGTCTAGTAGGGAAGGAGGGAAACGAAATGTGCAACTGAAACTTACATTTTTGCTTGGGACGCACATGGGTGTCCCCTGTTTCACCTGACCTGCTTCCACCGTCACCCCCATCACTATCGGATCTCGAGAATTAAAAATGTACTGAGGGAGTATTTTCATCTTGCAGGGAAATACTGCTATGTGCCTGAAAGAAAAAAGAATTTTTAAGCTTACAGAATCACCTAAACATGGAAAGAAAAAGTGCAGCTGAACATGAAGCTTCTGTCTTTAGAGGAAAGCAGCTTTCCTCAGCGGCCACAGGAGACGGGCAGGCAGGGTGCTGCAGCCCAGAGCTACCCCATACCCAAGGCACTTCTTCCTTTTCTTCTTAACTTCCTAGATATCAGCCACACTCTAGGGCTTAGAACCTAGGCAGTACCTGGTGATAGGTCTTCGTTTGGCCTATGTGTAGGCTACTGGGGGACCACATAGACATTAAACCATATTATCGCCCTCCTTTTCTCCACCATGTTCCCAAACCATTTGATCCACAAAGGCCACTACATAATTACCCTGCTTATTGAGCACATGCTTAAAGTGCTTTAAAAGTTTCCAGCAGTCTTCCTAATCAAGTAGAGTCTTCTTGAGGTTTCATGATCTAAAATGAGCATATACCAGTCTAAACCCTAATATTTACTAGTAAGCTCCACTTAAAAATGTATCCCAAACTCTGCCATCACTACCGTCAGTGTGGTGTGAATCACCTGAGCCTCTTGCTTGGACTGTGGAAGCGTCCTCAGAGGCTTTCATCACTGACTTCCTAACAACCCAAGGTCCACATAACAACCCAGTTAACCGTTCTGATTGTGAATCAACAGCCTTGGCAGTGGTTTCTTGCACAACTCAGAGAAGCTAAATGCTTCCCATGGCCTGTAAGATCCTTGACAATACAGGTCCCACCACCCTCTCTGACCTCATCTATCACTGTCCCCTCTGGTCACTCTGCCTTGCACTGCCATTCTATCTGGACACTCACCACGTACCTGTGCAGCTTACTGTCTGAAGAGATGAGATGCCTTCCCCAACCACATCATTAATCACAGCCCCTCCTCTCTTTATCTAGGCCCTTCCCTGCTTTATTTGGTTTTTAGCACTTCTCATTCATGTGTTGATTGTCTCACATAAGACCATGTCCCAGGCCAGGTGCAGGGACTCAAACCTATAATCTCAGCACTCTGGGAGGCAAAGGCAGGAGGATCACTTGAGTTCAGGAGTTCAAGACCAGCCCAGCCAACATGGCAAAACCTTGTCTCCACCAAAAATACAAAAAATCAGCCAGGCATAATGGTGTGAGCCTATAGTCCCAACTACTTGGGAGGTTGAGGCAGAGGATCACTTGAGCCCAGTAAGCAGAGATTGGGGTGAGCCATGATCACGCCATTGCACTACAGTCTGGGTGACAGAGCAAGACCCTCTCTGAAAGAAAAAAAAAGAAAAAGAAAAAAAAAGTGTCCTCTCACCTCCAGGAGGAGGGAGCCTGGCCTGGTTCTCTGCTGATCCCTCCTCTACCACTACAGCAGTGTATGCACTGTGAGTACTTGCAAAGTTTGGTACAGGAATGGATTTCTCTCCCACAGAATCTCTTACCTTATTTACCAGTTTTCCTCACTCAAATTTTGTTACTTCCATGCAATCCCAGATAAAGAACCCATACAAGATAAAGTCCCCAAATTTAATTAACTACTAACCCGTTAAAGACACCCAAGTCTGCCAAGATCATTAAACTGAAAGGTCACAGACAAGACTTGTTTGCACACTGCTGGAATGGCCCCAGGATGCTGGGCTGGTTTGTAACACACCACTTCAGGATGCAGCCTCTGGTAGATGAGTAAATGTCATGCTCTTGCTGTTGACAGCCCTTTCTAGAATTCAGTAATTCTCAACCATGTTCATTCACAAAGACTTAAAGTAAATAAAAACAGTAACTTACTTAAATTCTTCTTGTTTCTGTTTCTTGTAGTCTTGTCTATATTTTGTAAAGGCATCAAATAAGTGATAAATAATTTCTGCACTAAAAATTCTAACTCCTAAACTATCAGCCATTTCTTGGGCATCTCGTTCAATTCTCACATTGAAGGCCAAAATTACTGCATACCTAAAAGGTTTAAACACATCAAAGACCCTTCAATCAAAACCAGAGTATGTCACAGAGGACAGTTTTTTAAGATAGAACAGTTTTAAGACAGGTAGGTAACATGAAAGCCTTCATAGCAAGAGAAATTACTTACTGAGGGTCATGTTCCAACATCACCGAAGCCTTCATAACATCTTTTTTATGCACTGGGCCAATGTTAATTCCTGCATACTGCAAAAATGGGAGTTTCCAGGTTTATCTCTATGTATCAGGTAATGTGATGGCACCAAAAAACCACGACCAACCACCACCCACTTGTGGAGCTAGGTGTAGTTACTTACGGGCACTTCTGATGTTTTCAGAAATTCAAGTAGAGCTTCCAAAGAACCCAGTGTAGATGCCTGGACATAGACTCCTTTTTCTTCTAACTTGATAGCATTTAGTGTCTGCTTTAATTCATGGATCGATTCATCCTTGAAAGGAAATCAGATTTGATAAGGCTGTCAACACGCTTCTATCATCAGCAGTCTAAAAATTGTGTTTCTCTCTTTGGTTCAGTACTCATCTGCAAATATGAAACCAAGGCTTAGAGAGAGCAAGGCATAATAGAACCTGTGCTGGAATGGAGGAGATTCTGGGGGCCATACACGAGCTGTATCCTGATTCACCTTTGTCTTAGGTTTACCAACTTTGAAATACATTTAATCTCTGCTCCACTTGGCAAATACAGTAGGTGGGTGGGCAGAATTTAATAGTAGAGATGAAAATTTTTTTTAAAGTTAAAAAAGCACCACATAAATGTAATGTGTTATGGTAGCCCAAAAGCTCAGTCTGACTTATAATGGTAGGAACCAACATAATCTCACGATCTCAGCAGTTCCTTCCTCATCACTGCTCCTCTGGAAATGGAGAAGAGACTTTTAACCAGGACAAGTTTATCAATGCCATTGAAAGGACATAAGTCTACTCCATACTCAGGACTAGGCGAAGAGGCAGGCCTGCCCTATTCTGTCACGGGCCCTGAGAGAGCTTATTCCCAGCAGCATGGCTCGATGCTGCCTAAATAAACACAGCCCCAGAACACAAGAGCCATGAGCTGGGAACAGTTGTTTTCTCTTTGGCAAGCGAACAAACTATGGCTCAAAGTCTACTTTCATGAAACTACAATGGACATGGGCCAACTGCTCGTATAAACAGGCAAACAGGCTTTAAGATGACTACTAGTAACTATAAAGAATATACAGCTTCTAGCTTCTTTTTGAGATAGGGTCTCGCTTTCACCCAGACTGGAGTGCAGTGGCATGATCTCGGCTCACTGCAGCCTCTTTCTCCCGGGTTCAAGTGAGTCTCCTGTCTCAGCCTCCCAAGTAGCTGGCATTAAACGCATGCGTAACTATTTCAAGCTGACTTCTAGCTTTTGACTCTCTTTTTTATTTGAATAAAATGCATTATTTTTAGAATTCCAGTACACATAAAAATGATACAAATTCCTAGGATTGTGCAAACGGAAATAATTTAAAAGCACCGAGTTTGCTAAGAAGCCAAGTGATGGCAGGCTTCACAAAGACAAAGAGCAGTTTTGGTCACCATCCCTAGCATGTGTACTGCTGCCACTTGCCAGAACTCAAATAGCTTTTGAGGATAAAAAATATTAAATGAACTTACTTTAAAAACAGGGATTTCATCTTCTTTATAAGCCACGAGGAGGGGTAAATCAGCCAAGGTTTTCTCCAGGTCTTCTCCAAGAATCTTTACCCCCTAAGCTGCTTCTACTTCTTTTCATACTGGTTCTGTAGAGATAAAAAACATTTGCTACCAAATGTATTTGATAAGTGGTTAGCAGTAGGAGATGGTATAAGAGAATCTCATCATGACCTTGGAGTAAAGTTTCTTAAACTAGGCACAAGAAGCAATAACCACAACATAAAAGATTGATAAATTTAACATTAAAATTAAATATTTCAATTTCTCAAAATACTACAGGGAAAAAAGAGTCACATAGTAGAAGATACTGCAAAACATACCAATAGACCTGTATTGTAAATATATAAGCACATATACATGTATAAGATAGATAATGGAGAAGAAAAATGTACATTTCATGAAGGAGGAAATAAATGGCTAATAAACATTTCTAAATGACCAACTGGGTTAACAAGTAAGCAGATGCACACTGAACTGGCAATGAGCTACATACACACTTACCAGAATGGCAAAAAAAGTGATGAAGATGTGAAACAACGAAACTGAAATACTGCAACTGAATATCTAATTTGTTATACCCACTGTAGATAAGTGTGGCCTTCACTTCTAGGTACACACACCCTGGGACACTGGCACAAACGCACCAAGAGATATACACAAAAGGCAACAGCAGCAGCATCATCAGCAAGAACAAAACTGAAAAACTGGGCTGAGCATGGTGGCTCACGCCTATAATCCCAACACTTTGAAAGGCTGAGGTCAGGAGTTTCAGACTAGCCTGGCCAACATGGCAAAATCTTGTCTCTACTAAAAATACAAAAAATCAGCCGAGTGTGGTGGCACACACCTGTAATCCCAGCCTAGATGACAGAGTGAGACTCCGTCTCGAAAAAAAAAAAAAAAAGAAAACTGGAGATCACCTACATTTTTCCATCAACAGAACAGATATGCTGTGATATACTCATATAATGGAATAGAGATCTTAAAATTATATACTTTTTTTTATTGAAAACAGAGTTTTACTCTTTTTGCCCAGGCTGGAGTGCAATGGTGCAATCTCAGCTCATTGCAACCTCTGCCTCCTGGGTTCAAGCAATTCTCCTGCCTCATCCTCCCGAGTACTGGGATTACATGCTTATACCACCACACCAGGCTAAATTTTTTTGTATTTTTAGTAAAGATGGCGTTTCTCCAGGCTGGTCTTGAACCCCGACCTCGGGTGATCTGCCTGCCTCAGCCTCCAAAAGTGCTGGGATTACAGGCTGTGAGTCACTGCGCCTGGCCAAATTATGTACTTTTTTTTTTTTCTTTTAACTAAAGGAGGCCAGATATAGGCCAGGCATAGTGGCTCATGCCTGTAATTCCAGCACTTTGGAAAGATCAAGATGGGTGGATTGCTTGAGCCCAGGAGTTTGAGACCAGCCTGGGCAACATGGCACAACCCCATCTGTACAAAAATTAGCCAGGTGTGGTGGCATGCACCCATAGTCCCAGGTATTCAGGAGGCTTAGGAGGGAGATCACCTGAACCTGGGGAGGTTGAGGCTGCAGTGAGCTGTGACTGCAACACTGCACTCCAGCCTGGGCGACACAGTGAAAGCCTATCTCAAAAAAAAAAAAAGCCTGATATAAAAGTATACACTGAGAATAATTCCATTTCTACATAAAGAAAGTCCACAGACACTTTTAAGGGAAGCACTCTCAGACACCAAATCTACAAAGCAAAGCAAAGATAAAAGATATTAGTTACTATCATAAAATGCAACCGTGGTTACTCTAAGAAAGGTCGGGGGCTGGGTGGGGAAGATGGGGGAGCCAATCAGGAAGAAGCACACAGGAAGCCTCTGGGTGCCAGCAGCGTTCTGATTCTCCATCTGGTTGCTTCCCAAAAATTTGTTAAACTTTTCTTCTATATTATGTGTACTTTTCAGGAGCAATGTTTTATTTCACAATTAAATATGTTTAAAAAAAAACACTACAATTGATCCTTCAGCAACATGGACTTGAACTGCATGTGTCCACTTAAGAATTTCTTCCACCTCTGCCACCAGAGACAGCAAGACCAACCCCCTCTCCTTCCTCCCTCTCAGCTTACTCAACATGAAGACAAAAATGAGGACCATTATGATGATCCACTACCACTTAACAAACAGTGAAACTATGTCATCTTCCTTGTGGTTTTCTTAATCACATTTTCTCTTCTCTAGCTTGTTTTATTGTAAGAATACAGCATGTGATACATACAACATACAAAACATGTTAATCGACTTTTTATGTGATCTGTAAACCTTCTGGTCAATGGTAGGCTATTAGGAGTTAAGTTTTTGGGGAGTTGAAAAATACATGTGAATTTTCAACTGCCTAAGCAGTCAGTGCCTCTAGCCCTCATGTTGTTCAAGAGTCAAGTGTAGTTAGCAGTGCAGAACCAAACAATGTAGTTTAGTATTTGGGAAAGGCCTAGTCTGGTAAGTAGGTACTTTCACACATCTCTACTCTGACAGATAGGATTTCCTGTATGATGACATCTAAAATAAAAGAGAGAGTGAAGGGTATGTGTGTTCTGTATTAAGTCAAACAGCTTTCAAAGTGAGGAAACAATCTCAGCAGAACTTCTAAACACTGTATAAGTCCCCATGTGTCAATGCTTACCACCTCAGCGTACCTTCACTCGTAATTCCTTCATAGGAGGAGGTAACAGGAGGCCTCGAATCTGAGTTACAATGGGCCCTTCTACTCCAGGAACAATGATTGTATCTCCTTCCTTCAAACGCCCATTGATCAAGATGACATCTACAGTGGTGCCCATCCCTGGGAGAGCTTTAACCTAAAAGACATTATGCAAAGAGAAAGACATACATACAATGCACCATGTTCATGAAATCTAAAAGTATCCTCCACTCGAGGAACTCACTATTTTTTTAAAGACAATAAACTGAAAAGTTGATCATTACCTCCATCACTTGTGCTCTTAGCTCTTCACAGTGCGCAAGTCTCTTGCTCAACATGGTCTGAGTTAACTCCACAAAAAGGTAGATCAGACTTCCCATGCCATCACCAGTATGTGCAGAGGTAGGTACCAAAGACACGAAAGTGCGGGGATCTTTTTTCTCATAAAACAAAGCAGCATTTAAACCCTAGGAGCAAAAATAATTGAAAACACCAGGCTGTAAAGAAAACGTATCTGGAATAGGCGTAATTAACGAGAAGCTGGATAAGCAAATGCCTAATCATTTTGAAACTCCTCATAAACACTAAAAGTGATCATGGATATCCTATAGGCATTAACTTTATTACAGCAAAGTAGTTCTAAGTAAACTCAGTTTTCTAAATTATTCAGGCTGCAAAGAGATCTTTGAAATATTAGCTTTCTGATATTAAAAAGGAGAAAAGGGAATAAGAATTTAAAAATTGCTGTCAACGAAAGAAAAGAACCAGTATTAACAAAAATGCTGACTTCATTATAAAGATAACATAATAAATATTCTATGAGATAAGCTCTGCATAAAGAAGGAAAGGCCTTCTTACCTGCTGCGCAAATTCTACAATAATAGCCTTTGCTCGCTCTTCAAATTCATCTTTTGTATTTTTTTTCTGCTTCTTTAAAGTAGCAGCCACATCAGAGTCGGGACTCTTTTTCCAATCATATAACCTATCAATCTGTAAAAGGTTTTTCATGAGAAAAAACTCGAAAAAATTCAGAACATTCAAGAACTGTATTAATAGCTCCAGAAAATTCCTCATGTATATCTCATATATACAGAACTGTGTGACTTACTTACTCAGACACTTTATTGTACCAAAAGTTCCTTACAGACTGCTTACCGGCAACCACTCTTAAATTTGAAACTCCTGCGGTACCATGCTGCCCATCAGCCTCCATGAGTTCCTAAGTGGCTGCTATTTGTTTGCAAAGATAAGATCCTAGAATCATCCTAAGACTATTAATACATATTGTTGGAATTCCAAAGCAGTTTTTGTAATAGACAGGAACAATCAATCCTAGCAAGTACCATCACTAGAAAATTACATAACAAAAAATTTAAAAAATTATTTTCTTTCTTGGGGAACAGCCTGTTTTAATTGTTTTATTGATTGAATTAGGGTTATATCTGTTTTGTTAATGACAGAATCTATTTTCCCTCACTTTTCAATGAGTGACAGATGAGTATAGAAGAAATGAAAATACTCACTAGCCAAACAAATAAACAATCGAAAGCATAATCTGGGGACTGAGTCTAGGGTGATAAAGAAACAGATGAATCTGAATGCTACTAAGTAGACAAATCAGTAGGAAATGACAGAGATGTTAAAATTAGCATATGAGGTCCTTAGAATACTTATAAACATGCTCAACACCTTTAAAGGAAAAGCCTGAAGCTTGTAAAGCTAAACAGTAACAACATGTCGGCTGGGCGTGGTGGCTCATGCCTGTAATCCCAGCACTTTGGGACTCGAGGCAGGTGGATCACGAGGTCAGGAGATCAAGACTATCCTGACCAACATGGTAAAACCCCATCTCTGCTAAAAATACAAAAAAAAATTAGCTGGGCGTGGTGGCTCATGCCTGTAGTCCCAACTACTCAGGAGGCCAAGGCAGGAGAATTGCTTGAAACCAAGAGGTGGAGACTGCAGTGAGCCAAGATCACACCACTATACTACAGACTGGGTGACAGTGCAAGACTCTGTCTCAAAAACAAAAACAAAAAAACAAAAAAAAAAAACAACAAAAAGAAAACATGTCTAACTAGTACTTAGAAATTAATACCTTTAAATGTTTTTATTAGAAAAGAATATCAATAAAACTAAAAGCCAATTCTCTGAATGATGCACATTTCTAAGTAGACAAAAGAAAAACCCTAAATAGCCCTGTATCTACTTAAGAAATGTCATGCTGATGTGGCTTTAATTCTTTCAAACACTTAACAAATAATTCAATTCCTGCACACTCTTTCAGAAAACAGGAGGAAACACTTCTCAACTCACGAAGCCAACATTACTCTGATATGAAAACCAGATAAAAGACATTACAAGAAAACTACATACCCATATCACTCATCAACAGAGACACAAAAATTTCAATGAAATCTAGCAATATATCAAAAGCATAACAAGTGACAACCAACTAGGGTTTAATAATGTAAAGTTTAATATTTTAAAAATTCAGCAGTAATTATATTGTTAACAGAATGAAGGAGAAAATCCACATGAACATCTCTAAATACGCAGGAAAATAATTCCTGAAAAAAAATCAACAACCATTCATAATTGAAGAAATAAAATCACAAAACACTCTAAACAACCTAGGAATAGAAGGAAACTTCCTCAAACTTAATAAAGTGCATTGACTTAAAAAAAACTCTACAGCTGACATCATACTTAATGGTGAAAGACTAATAAGCACTTTCCCCCAATATCAGGAATAAAGAAAGGATGATGTCTACTGTCATTTCTTCTATTCGACATTATTTAGAAGGTATATAGGGACTCAAGATGGCGCTGTGAGAACAACCCAGGATTGGAGCTCTCCTTAATCCGCGGAGAGGTGAGTCGGAGCTGCATTTCCAGACTGATCTTTGTTGCCCACAGAACGGGGAAATTCCCAGGTATAAAGCAGATGCGGGACGCCAGGCAGTACCTCTGTCTGGTGAAGCCGGCAGCTGGGGTGGTGGCGGCCGGCCCTACCCAGCACTCCCCACAGGGCACGCTTGTCTGGGTGCACTGTTGAACCGGCAACCTGAGACTTGAGAGGGCTGGACTTGAGACTGAACGAGACTTGGACAGTGGGCCAGCCCAGGGGATTGCAGGGACAGAGCGTTTGGGCTAGCCCAGTGGGATGAACAAAACTGCGATTTCAAACGATCCCCGTGCAGACGGTCCGAGACGCTCTGTGGGGGAGGGGCGTCCACCATTACTGAGGCAACCCGCTACAACAGAGAGACTCCGCCGCAGGGCGTGGGGGAGACCACAGCAGAACAGCAGAGCCTGCCCCAACAGGGCAAACCACACAACAGCAGGGCGGAGCCTCGGCAGGCAAACAGTGGCTAGTCTGCCTCCTAGCTGGGCAGGACACCTCAACCAACATCCAAAAATAAAGCCTGAACCCCCCACCACAGAGCATTTGAGAAAAAAAGGGTTTTTTTAAAGAGCTCTTTTGCAGCAGAATCAAACATAGCAGCCTAACAGCCCTGAATGAACAACAGAGCTCACAGCTCAGCACTTGAGCTCCTATAAAGTACAGACTGTCTCCTCAAGCAGCTCCCTGACACCTCTATATCCAAAAGACTGACATTTGGCAGGCATCATCCTGGGACAAAGATAGCAGAAAAAGAAACTGGTAGCATCCCTCACTGTGCCGCAACTACTAGAGGTGCACCCCAGACAAGCAGGGCCTGAAGTGGACCTCAGCAGTCGTACAGTGAAGGGGCTAGACTGGTAGAAAAAAAACCAAGTAACAGAAATACTTCATCACCAACAATCTGGGTGTCCACTCAGAGACCCAATCGAAAAGTCAGCAACTACACAGATGACAGGTGTATAAATCCACAAAGATGGGAAGAAACCAGCGCAAAAAGGAGGAAAACACCCGAAATGAGAACACCTCACCGCCTAGAAAGGACCAAAACTCCTCACCAGCAAGGGAACAAAGCTGGACGGAGAATGACTGTGATGAAATGACGGAATTAGACTTCAGAAGGTGGATAATGAGAAGCTTTTGTGAGCTAAAAGAACATGTATTAAATCAATGCAAAGAAATTAAGGAACTTGAAAAAAGACATGAGGAAATGATAACAAGAATGGATAACGTAGAGAGAAATATGAATGAATTAAAGGAGCTGAAAAACACAATACAAGAACTTCGCGAAGCATGCACAAGTTTCAATAGCCAAATTGACCAAGCAGAAGAAAGAATATCGGAAGTCGAAGACCAACTCAATGAAATAAAACGAGAAACCAAGATCAGAGAAAAAAGCGCAAAAAGGAATGAACAAAGTCTCCAAAAAATGTGGGACTATGTGAAAAGACCTAACCTACGTTTGATAGGTGTACCAGAAGGGGACAAAGAAAATGAATCCAAGCTGGAAAATACTCTTCAGGACATTATCCAGGAAAATTTCCCCCACCTAGCAAGACAGGCCAACACTCAAATGCAGGAAATACAGAGAACACCACAAAGATATTCCGCAAGAAGAGCAACCCCAAGGCACATAATCGTCAGATTCAACAAGGTTGAAATAAAGGAGAAAATACTAAGGGCAGCCAGAGAGAAAGGTCGGGTCACCCACAAAGGGAAGCCCATCAGACTCACAGCAGATCTCTCGGCAGAAACACTACAAGCCAGAAGAGAGTGAAGGCCAATATTCAACATTCTTAAAGAAAAAAACTTTCAACCCAGAATTTCATATCCAGCCAAACTGAGCTTCAGAAGTGAAGGAAAAATAAAATCCTTCGTGAACAAGCAAGTACTCAGAGATTTTGTCACCACCAGGCCTGCTTTACAAGAGCTCCTGAAAGAGGCACTACACATAGAAAGGAACAACCAGTACCAGCCATTCCAAAATCACACTAAATGCTAAAGAGCATCAACATAATGAAGAATCTACAACAACTAACAGGCAAAACAGCCACTTAGCATCAAAATGGCAGTATCAAATTCACACATAACAATATTAACCCTAAATGGAAATGGACTAAATGCACCAATCAAAAGACACAGACTGGCAAATTGGATAAAAATCCAAAACCCATCAGTGTGCTGTATCCAGGAAACCCATCTCACATGCAAGGATACACAAAGGCTCAAAATAAAGGGATGAAGGAAGATTTACCAAGCTAATGGAGAGCAAAAAAAAGCAGGAGTTGCAATTCTCATCTCTGATAAAATAGACTTTAAAGCAACAAAGATCAAAAGGACAAAGAAGGCTATTACATAATGATAAAAGGATCAATACAACAAGAAGAGCTAACGATCCTGAACATATATGGACCCAATGCAGGAGCACCCATATACATAAGGCAAGTTCTTAATGACTTACAAAGAGACTTAGACTCCCACACAATAATTGTGGGAGACTTTAACACTCCACTGTCAATATCAGACAGATCAACCAGACAGAAAATCAACAAGGATATCCAGGGCTTGAACTCAGACCTGGAGCAAGCAAACCTGATAGACATTTACAGAACTCTCCACCCCAAATCCACAGAATACACATTCTTCTCAGCACCACATCACACCTACTCTAAAATTGACCACATAATTGGAAGTAAAGCACTGCTCAACAAATGCAAAACAACTGAAATCATAACAAACAGCCTCTCAGACCATAGTGCAATCAAGTTAGAACTCAGAATACAGAAACCGACCCAGAACCACACAGCTTCATGGAAACTGAACAACTGGCTCTTGAATGTTGACTGGATAAACAATGAAATGAAGACAGAAATAAAGAAGTTCTTAGAAACCAATGAGAACGAAGACACAACGTGCCAGAACCTCTGGGACACATTTAAAGCAGTCTCTAGAGGAAAGTATATAGCAATAAGTGCCCATATGAGAAGAATGGAGAGATCCAAAATTGACACCCTATCATCACAATTGAAAGAGCTAGAGGAGCAAGATCAAAAAAACTCAAAACCCAGCAGAAGACAAGAAATAACTAAGATCAGAGCTGAACTGAAGGAGATTGAGACACGAAAAACCCTTCAAAAAATCAATAAATCCAAGAGCTGGTTTTTTGAAAAGATCAACAAAATAGACAGACCACTAGCCAGATTGATTAAAAAGAAAAGAGAGAACAACCAAA